AAATCTAAAACTTACAAGTTCTTCAACGTCATAGTTGGATACAACAAGATTAAAAAAGTAGATCAAGATTACAAAAGAAAATCATAGAAGGTAAACTTCAAAATTCAAAGATAGGTCCATAAGCACTCGGAGACAAAAAACGGTGGAGCAAATTGCCACAAACAAAGTTATATTGCATAGGAAACGCTTCCGCAAAGAAATGAAGGAAAAATGTTTAGTTACTACCAAAAGAATTTGTAACGTCGGAGATAACCATAGCTTCCAGAGTCACCAGCTCGGCACACGCAAAATTTAAGATACAATGACGGATTTTCAACTTGGAAATCAATGACCAAGGATGAAAGCTCCGTAAAAGAGTAGGTGGGTAAAATGTTTCTCCGTAAATGAGTAATTAAAATTATGTCAAAGGTTTCTCAAGTCTCAAGGAAAACTCTCAAAGTAAAATAATTCTATAAAAATGAGAAATTATGATCTCTTTGTTTCAAGCACTCGTTGAAAAGAGATTTGAGTTGTTCGCTTCGATTTAAGAGGATATATGGACCCTTAGATCTAAAACATATTGAATAAACAAAAAAAAAAAGACTATAGCTATTATCAATGTTAAGAGGAATGTTTTTACAATGATGCTACCAAGATAATATAAAAATTGGAGTTAATAATTTTTCTGATTCATCTATGAAAATGGCATTATTTCTTGCAGTCTTTAGACAGTTTTTTTTTGTTAACAAATATAATGTACATTCGGGTTTCTTAGGAATCCAAATTGTTACTCCATGTTTTAGTACTATAAAGCTTAATATTTTAGAGATAGAAATATAGAATATATTATTTGAAAAGAGAGACCATAATTACTTACGGGGGAGTTGATATGAAATGCATGATGATAGAAAAGAGATTGTGTCTATTTTGAATTATGACTTCGAGTAATATTATAAATCTAGATTTTCTTATGGAGCATGTGAAGGAATTATTTCCTATAGGTTTCCTTGTGTGTAAGCAAATCATGAATCAACACTATAGGCTATATATATATATACTGTATATATATTTAGAAATAATTCTAATCTCATTAATCCCATAAATTAGGGTTAATCAATCATGACAAACTTTGTTTTTTTCTTTTTATTAAGAAACACTTTTGTTTTTTTTACACATACCAAAAGGAGTGACATATTTTAGCTACTTAGTTAGTTCAATATAATTTGTTTTTTCTTTTTATAGGCCAATTTATCCATATATAAGAAAAAGTTGGTACATAGTTTTAAACATATGTCAAAGGATATATGAAACTACATAATGATTTTTCTATGTCAAAAAATCGGAACCAACAAAACAAAGACACCTGTCCCTCACAACCGAGTGTAAACTAACACTCGAATACCAACTCCAAACTTACTGTTCTCTTATTTGTGTATATTTTAATAGTCACACCCACACAAAAAATATACCGTTGTGTATGGTCTTACATGAAAAAATCACCAAAAAGATCATCAAGAACCTAATACTGTATAAACTCAAACCCGCTGACTTGACTAGAGGATTTCCAGATCTTGACTAGAGTCTTCAGATTCATTTGGTTGCATATGACAATGCTGAAGAAACTAAAGTTTTGCTCTTCTCGTGTCTAATTTCTTGTCCCAAATTTGAGCTAAAATTTTGACCATAATTCAAGAACTTAATGCTCTGTCTTTGAGAAATCGATCCAAATTGTTTCTCAATGTTCGGTAATCTTTTTGGCTATGTCAATAATATATTCCATATACAGATGGGTCGAATTGTGTCAAAGCTAAAGAATGTTATGGGCCTTACGGCTCGTTGTGTTCAGCAAAATAAACCATTGGTTCTAAACGAAATTTGAGATTGAACCGGTCATCGTTTCCTGATGACTCAATTTAAGTTTTAAGCCTGTAAGGGTTTCCCTGCACACACACTCGTTTGCTCACTTTTTTTTTTGGTGAAATCAGGCGAATTTGGAGATAACGAAAATCAGGCGAAGCTAAAATGTTGGCTAGGGTTTGTAGATCTGAATCATCTTCTGGTAATGCAGCTGCTGTTTCTGCTAGATTGTTCAGTACGAGATTGGTTCATCGTCGCGTCGCCAAGAAAACTAGTAAGGTTGAAAAGAGTATGCCTTCTCTTAGCGGAGGAGCTTTTGAAGGAGAGAGTTTGAAATTGAGAAGTGGATCTCACTATATCAAATGCTTTGATGATGCAATTGGTCTGTTCGATGAAATGGTTCGATCTCGTCCACTTCCTTCAGCAATTGATTTCAATAAACTAATTGGTGTGGTCGTCGTGAAAATGGAACGACCTGATGTTGCGATTTCTCTCTATCAGAAGATGGAATTGCGCCAGATTCCATTTGATATCTACAGCTTCAGTATTCTGATTAAGTGTTTCTGCAGCTGTCATATATTGTCCTTTGCTTTGTCTACATTGGGCAAGATCACTAAACTTGGTTTCCAGCCCAGTGTTGTTACCTTTAGCACGCTGATCCACGGTTTATGTCTCGAAGATAGGATCTCTGAAGCCGTAGCTTTATTTGATCATATGGTTGAAACTGGATTAACACCCAATGTCGTAACGTTTACCACACTGATGAACGGTCTTTGCCGCGAGGGTCGAGTTCTCCAAGCAGTAGCTCTTGTTGATCGGATGGTCGAAAATGGTCATCAACCTGACAAGATTACATACGGAACAATTGTCAATGGAATGTGTAAGTTGGGTGACACTGAGTCTGCCTTGAACCTGCTTAGGAAGATGGATGAAAGCCCCATCAAAGCCCATGTTGTAATCTATAATGCCATCATTGATCGTCTTTGCAAAGACGGACATCATAGCGATGCTCAAAATCTTTTCACTGAAATGCATGACAAAGGAATTATGCCAACTGTTCTCACCTACAATTGTATGATAGATGGTTGTTGTAGTTATGGTAAATGGAGTGATGCGGTGCAACTGCTACGTGATATGATCGAGAGTAGTGTCAACCCTGATGTTGTAACTTTCAATGCATTGATCAATGCATTTGTCAAAGAAGGAAAGGTCTCTGAGGCTGAAGAATTATACTGTGAGATGCTTCGAAGGGATATATTTCCTAATACAATCACATATAATTCATTGATCGATGGACTTTGCAAGCATAGCCGTCTAGATGATGCAAAGCACATGTTTGATTTGATGGTTAGCAAAGGCTGCTCTCCGAACGTAATCACTATTAATACTCTCATAGGTGGATGCTGTAGGGCGAAAAGGGTAGATGATGGAATGAAACTTCTCCATGAGATGTCAAGAAGAGGATTAGTTCCTGATTCAGTTTCTTACAACACTCTTATTCACGGGTTCTGTCAAGCGGGGAATCTTAATGCTGCTCAAGACCTTTTCGAGGAGATGATTTCTCATGGTGTGTCTTCTGATATTGTAACTTGTAACACTTTGCTGGGCGGTTTCTACGAGAATGGAAAGCTAGATAAGGCATTGGAAATGTTTGAGGTTATGCAGAAGAGTAAGATGGATATTGATACTGCTACTTATAACATCATTATCCATGGAATGTGCAAGTGTAATAAGGTGGATGAAGCATGGGATTTGTTCAATATCCTCCCCATCAATGGTGTGGAACGTGATGTTCAAACGTATAATATAATGATCAGCGCATTTTTCAAAGAAAGGAACTTTTTAAGTGCTGAAGAACTATACTTGGAAATGCTCAGTAAAGGTTTAGTTCCCAATATTGTCACATATAGCTCAATGGTAGATGGGTTCTGCAAGCAGAACCGCCTAGAAGAGGCCAGACAGATGGTCGATTCGATGGCTAGTGAGGGCTGTTTTCCAGACGTTGTGACTTTTAGTACACTCGTTAATGGCTACTGTAAGGCAAGAAGGGTTGATGACGGATTGGAGCTTTACTGTGAGATGTCTAGAAGAGGAATAGTTGCTGATAAAGTTACTTTCAACACTTTGATCCATGGTTTTTTACAAGTGGGCGATCTTAATGGCGCCCTAAACATTTTCCAGGAGATGGTTTCTAGTGGTGTGTGTCCCGATACCATTAATTTCCTCACTATGCTGGCTGGTTTATGTAGTAAGGAACAACTACAAAAGGCAGTGGCAATGTTGGAGGATTTGCAGAAGAGTGTGGTATGTCCTCTACTCACTTTTGTACTTTCCTTTTGAGTTTTGGAGATGAATTTATATATATATACAGCTTTGGCTGCAGAGCTTCTAGTGTACAGGTAGCATCTGGAGAAGTTTGCGACTGAATGTCTAAGTCAAATTTAAGATATATATTCCATCTCACGCTCTCTGATTAGCTTGGTGTGTTTGCTTTGCACTTTGCAGGATCATCAATTGGAGGATGAATGAAAGAATTGGAAGACACAGTGCCATTTCCCTTTTGTTATTCCATTTCTACTAAAGTTGAAAATGAACGTTTATGATTTATTCATTCTGGATATTTGTGTGAAATGAACGTTTATGGTTAATAAGAGGAAAATGAACGATTATGGTTAATAAGAGGAAAAAGTTTCAGTTTTCAAGCTCAGTTCCATCCTCAACAACGATTGATATTTGTCGCGAGATACTCTGTATAAATGAATTGACACGAACCGGAAGCTACGAACCGGGAAATCGCGTTTGAATTTTGACTTGGACCGGATTTACGTTTTACATATAAAGAGATAACCACAAAAATGTTACGGTTTCTTATTAACCGTAAACCGGAAATTGGGAGCCACGTAAATTAGAGACCAAGGCTAGTGTGCCACTGAACCGGAAAATGGAATCCTGCCTGCCATTTTAGAGTCTCAATGCCACCCATATAGTGGATAATACTCTTATACCCTTAATGATATATCTGATTTATTTGATTTAATTTTTTTTTTAAAAAAACAAAGATTCACGAAAGCAAAGCGAGAAACGAGCTGTGGGTTTCGAAATCTCGATCCAATCTCAATCCCCGGAGACCGACACACTGAAGATTCCGGAGCTGCTGAGCGCTCGATTATTTGGTCGTCATTAGCGCCGACGCCGGCGCAGGAGCTGCTTTTATTTCCTCCATTGTTGGATCTAGATTGAGAGCTCGCCATTTGTTTCGTCTACTCCCGCTCCTCCTCTTAGCCTCGCCGTCGACTCATCCATTTCGACGGACAGGACCTTCTTTCTTCTCCTCCATTGTTGGATCTTGATTGAACCAAGTAAGTGCTTTGAAATTTGTTTGTTTAGGTATTTGCAATGGTAGAGTTTGGCAATGGTAAGTGTAGAAATCTCTAGATAGTAGGATTTATGAGTTGAATCGTGTTGAATCCGAGGGAAATTAGAATGTAGCTCCTCCTTTGTATCGTTAGTTGCAGAAGGTCATGGTACAACTGAAATTGAATAATACAACTGGTGCATATATGATAGTGTAGTTCGACTGGTACAATTGGTATAACTGTTACAAGTGCTGTATCGAAATTAGTGATTTATTTTGTTCTATCTGCAGTGCGATGAAGAAGAAGATCCACACAAACATATATTTTGACTATGGAGGGTACTATTCAGAAGAGCATGAGTGGAATTGCAACAATTCAGTATATGCTATAATGTTTAAGACAACATCTTTGGAGAGAATAACATATCCGGTGTTGGTAGATAAGATCTGTAAGAAGATTGCTATAGACGGAGCGAGAAGGAAGATGAAATTGAGTTACATGATATGTAAAGGAAGGAGAGAGTCTTATATTTTAGATGATGAGGATGTTTGTATATTCTTAACATCATTGGATAAAGAGGGATTTAGACCAGTTTTGCATGTGGAGTTATGCAATCTTGAAAGTAATCAGATGGTGGAGCTAGTACCAAGAGTAGAGAGAAGAAGTTCATGCGGTTTGAATTATGGGGAAGTGGCTGCCAATGATGTAAGGACTGATGATGTAAGGACTGATGATGTAAGGACTGATGATGTAAATAATCAAGCAAACTTGAGTGCGTTTAGATGGGGGGAAGGATCAGAACAAGAGAAAGAGCCTGCTATAGTTAATGAACCGATTATTGAACAGCTCATGATAGAGAATGGTGTAAATGAAGATTGTGAGAATGATGTTAGGCATGAATATGTTGAGCTTTCGCGGACTGTACAACCAAGTGAGGAAACAGTTAAAGAATGGAAAGATGGTTTGGAATTGGAAAAAGATCAAGAATTTCCTTCTAAGGAGGCAGTATGGGATTTGGTTAATAGAGCTGCAAAGGCCGAGTTGTTTGGTGTGAGATGTGTGAAGTCGGACCCGGTGCGACTTATGATTGAATGCAGTCAAGCTTCCATGGGTTGTGAATGGTATTTAAGAGTTGCTAGAATAAAGAAATCTGATTTTTGGAGTGTAAGAGTTCACAAAAACATGCATACATGCTCTAGGTGTGAGGAGAGTACTACATATTTTAAACAAAAAGGCACACCACGATTAGTAGCAAGTGTTTTGCATGAGGACTTCCGTGGTCAATTGGAAACACCGGATCCTAAAACCATCATGACTCTTGTTAAAGGAAGACTTGGTTTGGATTGTTCCTACTCCACCGCCTTGAGAGGGAAAAAACAACATGTTAGTGATATGCGTGGGAACCCTGAAGTTTGCTACACGATGTTGTATGCTTATCTCCACATGTTGAGAGAGGTGAATCCTGGGACAGTAACGGAAGTGGAATTGGATGCAGAAGATAGGTTCAAGTACTTATTTATCGCTTTAGGAGCAAGCATTGAAGGGTTTAAGGCAATGAGGAAAGTGTTAGTGATTGATGCAACTTTTCTGAAAACTGTATATGGTGGGATGTTAGTTATTGCAACAGCTCAGGATCCTAATCGTCACCATTATCCCATTGCGTTTGGTGTAATTGATAGTGAGAATCATGCTAGTTGGAATTGGTTTTTTAGAATGTTGAGAAAGGTAGTACCGGATGAAGATGGTTTGGTTTTCATAAGCGACAGACATCAAAGCATCATCAAGGGAGTGATGGATGTGTTTCCAAACGCATCACATGGTCATTGTATATGGCATTTGTCCCAAAACCTTAGGCCAAAGTTGACTGGGGACAAGGACTTAGGTGTTGAGAAATTCAAGGAATGCGCTCATATATATACTAAGACCGAGTTCAGCATTCAGTATGGTGATTTTAGGAGAAGGTATCCTAGAGCTGCTGAATATCTGGATAATTCTATTGGGGTTGAACAATGGGCTAGGAGTCATGCTGAGAGAGACAAGTACAACATAGATACTAGCAACTCCGCAGAGTCAATGAATGCTGTGTTTAAGGAAGTAAGGAAGTACCATCTATTACCGATGATTGATGCGATATTGGAGAAGTTTTCCGAATGGTTCAACAAACATCGAAAAGATTCTGCCAATGCATCGAACACAACGCAAGTGGTGCCTGTTGTGGAGAATATATTACATATCCGATGTCCTATAGCTGCGAAGTTGACGGTCACTGAGCTTAACAGCTACCGACGCGAATATAGCGTAATTGGAGTTGATGGTTTAACATATTTGGTGGACTTGGATATGAAATCTTGTACTTGTAGGTGTTTTGATATAGACAAGTACCCTTGCATCCATGGTATAGCCGCAGCCATTAAGCATTGTCGGAATGAATGGAGAACAACGAATGTAAGCATATATGGTCTTTGTTCGAAATATTACTTGATCGAGACGTGGGCATTGGCATATTACAAAACGATTTACGTTGTGCCGCATGAGTCTCAATGGACTTTCCCAGCTGACTACGAGGAGAAGATCGCAAAACCGCCGGATTACAAACCAAAGAAAGGTAGAAATCAAGAGACCCGGTTTCCATCCACCGGGGAAAAGCGACGAAAGAGGACCCAAAACAAGGCACGGCCTGGCATTAACTTGGAGAGTTGGTTGCAGCCCCCTCCCAATGATGAGAATGGTTAACTTGAGTTTCTGTGTTTTACTTGTATTTCTCGCATGTGCATTAACAATTCAGCTGGTTCAACTGGGTTCAGCTAAGAACATGTCTGTGTCTCGTTTGTGCATTAACAATTCAGCTAGTTCAACTGAGTTCAGCTAAGAACATGTCTGTTTGTTTTAAGTTGTATTTGTATTCGTTTATATACTGAGTTCAGCTATTACAAGTAAGTCCAATATGTTCCATAAGTTTTGCATTAACTATTCAACTGGTTCAACTTGTACAACTTGTACAGCTACGATAGTATTATAAAACAACATTTTTTATAAAAAAAATGTAATAAAAGAATAATTCTATAATATAATCATAATAGAATTAACTTTTATATAAAATTTTAACATTCGAATACAACTTTTAAAAAAATCTATGTAAAATGATGTTCTCACACAAACAACCCCTTCTAGTATAAGGGATACTTACTATAAGATAACCTAAATCATAGTGAAAGACGTGAAAACAATGATTTGGTAAATATAATATTATGTCACCCTTGGATATGCCAAATAATTCAGAATAATCATTTGTCCAACTTATAATTAATTATTTAAATACTAGTCCAACTGAAAACAAGAAAAAGTGTTAAAAGTCCAACTATGTTGCTCCTAGTACAACTGGACAACTATGAGTATATTCAGCCATCATGGGTCCCACATATTTAATACTATTAAACAAGTACAGCCGCCAAACGAAATTTATTTTAAAAAGTATTTTTGTTTTTAGATATTCTTTTAAAAGGAAAAGGAAGATAGATCGATCGATAGATCTAAGGTTTTATTATGAAATGTCTCTCTCTCTTACCTAGTTTCTCCCTCTCTCATTTGCGAAACCCAGAAAAGTAGAGAAGTAAAATTCCGGCGAGCGAGAGCGGAGATCCCGACGGCGAGAGCAGAGATTTCGGCGAACGACTCCTATCTAACAAGGTTGGTGCTTTCTAATTCCTAGATCTAGGGTTTGGGTTTGTCGATTCAGATTTGGATCTAGGGTTTTCTTATTTGGGGTTCTCCGTTTTTTATTGGGTTTGGGTTTGTAGATTAGGATTTGGATCTAGGTTTTCTTAATTGATTTCTAATTCCTAGATCTAGGGTTTTCTTATTTGATTTCTAATTCCTAGATCTAGGGTTCATAAATTTCAGATTCATCTTGATTTTTTGCAGTGACAATGCCGATCAGTTATACTCAAAGTTCAGAATCGGAACCGAGTGAGGATATGAGTTGGGCAAGAGCTGACGGTAATTGGGGTATTCCGAGATATTGTTTATGTGGAACCTACGTTAAGCTTGTTGTATGTACCACTGGCAATAATCAAGGAAGAAAGGAATACAAATGTCCAAATTATGAGGTATGATGAATTTTTTGTAATTATTGTTGATGATGAATTCGTTTTTCTTATGATTGATGATTGATGCTTATGCTTAGGATGGTGGAGAACACCTTCAAAAGTGGTGGGATGATGCGGTTAATGAGGAGTTTAGTGTTGTGCATAACAAATTTGAAACCCAGAAAGAATCAATCCACCACGCTTACCAAAATCCAATGTTGGAGTCACTTCGCGAGTCTGTTCGAATTATGCGTGCTCAACTCGATGATCTTGAGAAGCGTTTGGAGGAGAAAGAAACGGAGATTAGCAAGCTGAGGGATTTGCTAGCTAAGTGGTAGTTGTTGTATGATTATGTATTTCTCTAAATATTGGTAGACTACTTAACTAAAATTGCCTAAACGTTTCAAAAAATGTATGTTTTATTCTATTGATTTGGACTATGTTTTCACCAAATTCACAAACAGTTGTACCGTGAATACCAGGCAGTTGTACCAGGCAGTTGTACCGTGAATACCAGGCAGTTGTACCAGGCAGTTGTACCGTGAATACCAGACAGTTGTACCATGAATACCTTAGTTGTACCAGGCAGTTGTACCATGAATACCTTAGTTGTACCAGACACTTAAATAGTTTCAAATTACCAAAATATAATAATAAGTACTTAACAAAATAATCCTAATAGTACCAAACACAAACTTGTTCAAAAAACAAAATAATGTTAAGGTTTTTCCCACCAGACAACAACACCAAACAATCATTACTTCTTTCTCCTTCTCTTCGGCTGCACTTCCACAAATGGTGTCTTAATATGTTGGGAAGCTGCCCTTGTTCGCTTCTGTCCGGTTGCTATTACAGGTCCACCCTCTTGCTGCTTCCTCTTGTTTGTCTTCTTGCCCTTCTTCTTCTCTTTTCCTTTCATCTCTTCCTCATTATTTTTCTCCTCCTCATCACCTTCATACAATGTACAAAGAAAACAGTTTATTAGTCCATTTTAAAAGTTCAGGAATTAACCAAGAAACTTCTACACTCACCTTGTTCTGGAACAGTTGGAGAAATGGGATTATACATAACCAAATCCATGGTTTGACTCGGTTGACTCGGCTGCCCACCCTCAAAATCAGTTCTTGTCCCATATTGTGCTTCCACAGGCGACCCATATGGCGTAAACACCGGAACCTGGGATGCCACAGCAACTTCAAGAGTCTTCACTCTAATCTCCATGTCACTCAACTTCTCATTAATGGCTTGAAAGCCATTGTTCACCACCTCTGTTAGTGAGTTTATAGATGCAACAAGGTTAGCAATATCAGAACTCTCTTTCTCAGGGACTTCTTGCTCAGGGTCTTCATTCTCAAGAAACTTATTTCCAATCTCTCGGGACGCCTGGTCCAGCTGGTACATTCCTTCCCACCATATCTTTTTCTTCTTTTCTACTAGACGCTCTCTCCAACTGTCAACAATAATATCAATCTCCCCCAGGCCATCATCAACATTATCTTCAATGATTCCAGCCAACAGAGATTTCTCATATTGGTCTGGTACCAAGATGCTGTCAATATCCTGTGAATACACACACATACATTTAACTTAGACTCTTGATCAAATACATGACACAAACCAAATAATCAAATGAAGACAGAAATTCTAACCTTGCTAGTCCCAAGCTCTTGATATATTTCTTCCAAAGGGATACCTTTCATGGCAGATTCTTTAAACTTGTGCTTGCACATCCTTGGACAGTCATTTGCTGCACGTACAGGTACTCTATATTTCAGGCCAAGATGTGGAATAGCCTCATAAGCCAGAATCTACAAAAAAACACACACAGTTAATATCATAAAACCATATATACAACTTCAAATACTCAGACATCAAAAACAAAGGATTACCTCCAGAGGTACAATGAATCCACTAAAGCTAGGTTGAGCTTTAGGTTTGACAGACCCATTCAAATTCTTCATCATATTCCGGATCCCTTTCATACATTCTGAGAATGAATACCTGCCCCATGGATATGTCTCACATGCATCCAAATCATCAACAATCCTTAAGAGAAAGGATACTATGTTGCCATCACTTTTTGAGCTTGCTTTTAGTATCTTGCATAGGAAATACAAGACTACTAACTTCTTCTTATCAGCTCCTTTCCAACTCCTCTTTTCCTTCAACTTAGCTAATACATCAGATGCCTTTATCTTCTCAGTCCTTTTGAAGATTCTCTTCACAAACCTCAAATTCCCCATTTCCTCATGCTTCTCCGGGTATTCCTTGCAATTAAACCCAGTTAGCAACGCATGCTCTTTGATGGAGTACCTAATAGGTACTCCATTAACCACAAACCAGCACTCCCTCTCAAGATCTGTGTCAACTGTGCGCAGCATAAGCATCCACATGCCTTGAGTCATGTGGTTTGGCTCCCTAGGCATGTGGAATACATGCTTGAACTGAGGGTGACTTCTGAACCATATTGCCTCGTCTTTAAACTCTTTCTCTATCAACTTCACTGTCTCAGTCACATTACACCTAGTTCCTATTTTACACCCTTTGGTGTATTCTGAACTATCTAAGCACATCTTCTCTGGCGGCAGTGGCTGGGAATCATCTTCATCATCATCATTACCAGAATCATCATCAGCTGTTATACCAGCAACGTCCTTACTAGCTTCAGCAGCCTCCTCCTCTATACCATCTTTAGCAGCAGCCTCCTCCTCTATACCAACATCCTCTTCAGCCTCTATACCATCTTTACCAGTACCAACATCACCATGCTCATCCTCTTCACCAGCATTACCAGCAGCATCATCCTCTTCCTCATATGTATCCTGCATATTCAAAACACAATCGCTGAGTTTAAGTTGTTGAACTACTTATATCAAAACACACAATTCAAACAAGTATATAATCGGGATAAGTTGAACTAGTTGTATCATGACACATAAATTCAAACCTATATATTCTCCGCTTCAATTATACCAAGAACCAGCATCAAAAGTATATATACTCATATTCAAAGACAACCTAATTCACTAGTTGAACTAGTTGTATCTTGAATACCATTAATCCATTCTCAAACTAATGTATACCTGAGCAGTATCGGTCTCTTCCTCTTCCTCTGATGCACCCACGAGTTCCTCCTCTGCAGCCTCTACTGCTCCAGTACTCGGTTCTATCGGACTCTCTACTGCTTGTCCTTCAGCATCATTCCTTTCCAACTCGACGGTTTCGTTTCCAGGTTGACTCTCGCAAGCATCAACTGCTGCTTCTTCTGTAGGATCAATTTGCATTCCGACGGTTTCACTTCCAGGTTTCACCATAGAAGCATCTGGTTCTGTCGGATCTGCGGTTTCTCTTCCAGGTTCGACCGAAGCATCCGCTGGTTCTGCCGGACGCCTCGCCGTCGATTCATACACCCCTTCGCCGTCTCTTACACGAGCCATTGACAAATTCCCCAGATTTTCCACGGATTTGCGGATTTGGATATGAACAGGGAAAAGGGCGATGCGAAATTCGACTTAGAAGGTGAGAATGGAGAAGAAATCGGCGATATAGGAGAAGAAATCGAAGAAATCGAAGAAATCGGAGAAGAAATCGAAGAAATCAGAAATTTAACTTAGGGTTTCGAAAAATGAAAGAAAGGGGAATCGATTCGATTTTCTTCAGTGAGATTGAATGAAACGGCATCGTTTTCTGGTTTTTTTACACAGTTGGGCCTCGTCGGATGGGCTTCGCTGGATAAAATCATTGGGCTTGGGTCGGATAAATCGTAACGGGTCGACGAGATCAGATGTTGGATATTTTCACTGGGTTTTTCGTCATTTCATAATAATTGATTTAAATCCTTTTAAATTTTATTCATCAAATAAAACTAAAATAGAAGGGTGGCATTCCAGCCTTTTTTTCCTCAGAAAGTGGCTTTCCAGCCATTGTTTCCGTAAATTAGGGTCGCCTTCTTCCTCTTCTCGACATCGGAAGAATCTTCTTTAGTGCCGAGAAAAAAAAAAAAATGGCTGCAATCAGAACGATGACGAACATGATTCTACGCGAGTTTATTCATCATCCACTTCTCCTTCACTCTTCATCGAAATCGTGTCAATCTCTTTTGCCATGTCTCCGTCTCACTCCCCTAATTGCTCCATTTCACTCTAATTCCCGATTTGGATCCATCCGATGTGCGGCGTCTACCTCCGGTGGAAGCAATGGTGATCGTAAAGTCTCTTCACGGTTGTCGCAGGTTCAACAGATGCTTCATGAAGCTGAAGAGAGAGCTAATTCCGCTGGCAATGAACCTACTCCTCAAATCACTCTTGGTAAAGCTTTTGCTTTATCTATTTAGAAAGAAACTGAGTTCAGTTTTAAGAAATAGGTTATGGAGAATTCTACTTTATGTAGAATTGGATGTGCTCATAGTTTCATGTGTATCTGTTTTTGGTATTTGCAGACCATGTTACACTTAACTTTGCTAGAAGTGGTGGTCCTGGAGGCCAGAATGTGAACAAATGTGTGACCTTCTTCTTGCGCCTTTTAACCGTTATTTGCGTTGTAGTTTTTTGGCTATTTGATGTCTCAATGCCTTCACATGTACCAATTATTTTGCAGTGAATACCAAAGTAGATATGCGCTTCAATGTGAAGAACGCGTACTGGCTAAGTGACAGGATCAGAGAGAAAATCATACAAATGGTTTGTTTTCTTACTCTATCATCCCTTTTCAAAACTAGGAGCGCGAGTTTTATCTCTATCGTGTTCCATGGAGAGAGTAGAGATAATTGTGTTGTTTGATATTTGAATCTTGATCTGGTAGGGGCTAAAATTTAGGACAATAGAGTATTTGGCTTTTTGTTTCTATGCGTTGAGTATTTAGCTTTTTGTTGTTTGTCAACAGGAGAAGAATCGGATCAACAAGGACGGTGAACTTGTGATATCTTCAACCAAAACCAGAACGCAGAAGTCAGTAACTTAATAATCCTTTCTATTCTATACCATTTTCAATAACTTCTCCATTTCTGACAGTGTGTTCCCTTGCAGAGGCAACATTGACGATGCACTTGAAAAACTACAGGTAATATACCAAATGGCTCTATTGAATATCGCGTCTTTTGGTCATGGTGTGTTTCGTTTTATCTAAAGCGGAGATGTTTTGGTTTAATCACATAACTGAACAGGCGATAATTAATGCGGCTTCGTATGTTCCTCCTCCACCATCAGAAGAACAGAAGAAGAAAATAGTAAAGCTGTGAGAACCAACGAAACCAAATCGTTTTTCATGATTCCATTGTGTAATTTGTGTTAACTCTCAATCCTCAAATCTTGACGTGGTGAATTCTTACATTTTCAGGGCTGAGAAAGCTGACAATAAACGACTTAAAAGCAAAAAAGTTCTTTCAGACAAGAAATCTGCGAGAAGAAGCCGTGGTAGTTACGATGATTAAAACTTAAACCATACAATGGAGTCCAGGTTGATTCTATGCTTTTAACTTAGATGATTATGTCATTTTCTTGGAATTTAATGTAACACAACAATCAGATCTTCCAATAAAAACTGCAGTATATTGGATTTTATGTACAAACCACTCTTAGACAAATTATGAATAAAGAAAGTATTAAACATAACATTCCACACTTTTTGTTTTACTTTCGAATAACATGTTCTTCTCCTGATCTTTGATCAAAATGCTTGATCCATTTTCTTTTGTTGTTGTTATCATTCTTCCCAGAGCTTCTTGCTGCGGCAACATGAGCGATTTCTAGACCACCGGAAACTGGAAGAGTCACTGTTCTAACAACATTCCGGTCACTAAATGCTTTTGTCCAACTGAAACACGAAGTGCTTCTTCGGTAACCGTTTCTGCATACCACAACCGCTCCTCTGCTTCCAAACACAGCGTTTCTCAAAACGTTGGCTGCGAAATCCTTCTGATCCCAGTCAACTACCAAGAAATCGATTCCTTGTAGCGTCAGCATCGTGTGATCCAATTCTTCTTCTTCTTCCTCGTTCATAATAATCGTCTCCGGCAAGTTTGAGCAAGATTGTTCGGTCATGGCTTGAAGATAAGCAGTTTGTGATCTTGCGTTTGGTACAATACAAATGTGTCTTCCGTTTGTGACTTGCTATGTTTAAGCCAACGCTTATGGCTATGGTTTCTCCTTATGTTTGTAATTTTTTCCATATACAGATGGATCGAATTGTGTCAAAGCTAAAGAATGTTATGGGCCTTACGGCTCTTTGTGTTCAGCAAAATAAACCATTACTTCAATGTGCCAATCAAATTGAACCGGTCAATGTGCCAATCAAATTGAACCGGTCAATGTGCCAATCAAATTGAACCGGTCGTCGTTTCCTGACTTCTTAAGTTTTAAGGGTTTACACACTCACTCGTTTGCTCAGTCGTCAGTTGGAGTTTGGAGATAACGAAAATCAGGCGAAGCTAAAATGTTGGCTAGGGTTTTTAGATCGGAGTCTTCTTCTGCTGTTTCTGCTAGATTGTTCAGTACGAGATTGGTTCATCGCCGCGTCGCCAAGAAAACTAGTAAGGTTGAAAAGAGTATGCCTTCTCTGAGCCAAGGAGCTTTTGAAGGAGAGAGTTTGAAATTGAGAAGTGGATCTCATCATATCAAAAGCCTTGATGATGCGATAGATTTGTTCGATGATATGGTTAGATCTCGTCCACTTCCTTCAGCAATTGATTTCAATAAACTAATTGGTGTGGTCGTCGTGAAAATGGAACGACCTGATGTTGCGATTTCTCTCTATCAGAAGATGGAATTGCGGAGGATTCCATTTAATATCTACAGCTTTAATATTCTGATGAAGTGTTTCTGCAGCTGTCATAAATTGCCCTTTGCTTTGTCTACATTGGGCAAGATTACTAAACTTGGTTTCCAGCCCGATGTTGTTACGTTTAACACGCTGATCCACGGTTTATGTCTCGAAGATAGGATCTCTGAAGCCGTAACTTTGTTTGATCATATGGTTGAAACTGGATGTCAACCCAATGTTGTAACTTTTACCACACTTATGAACGGTCTTTGCCGTGAGGGTCGAGTTCTCCAGGCAGTAGCTCTTGTTGATCGGATGGTTGAAAATGGTCATCAACCTAACGAGGTGACGTATGGAACAATTGTCAATGGAATGTGTAAGATGGGTGACACTGAGTCTGCCTTGAACCTGCTTAGGAAGATGGATGAAAGCCACATCAAAGCCGATGTTGTAATCTATACTGCCATCATTGATCGCCTTTGCAAAGACGGGCACCACAGCAAGGCTCAAAATCTTTTCACTGAAATGCATGACAAAGGAATTTTTCCCAATGTTCTCACCTACAATTGTATGATAGATGGTTATTGTAGTTATGGTAAATGGACTGATGCGGAGCAACTGCTACGTGATATGATCGAGAGGAATGTCGACCCTGATGTTGTAACTTTCAATGCATTGATCAATGCATTTGTAAAAGAAGGAAAGGTCTCTGAGGCTGAAGAATTATATCAGGAGATGCTTCGAAGGAATATATTTCCTGATACAATCACATATAGTTCATTGATCGATGGATTTTGCAAGCATAGTCGTCTAGATGATGCGAAGCACATGTTTGATTTGATGGTTATCAAGGGCTGCTCTCCGAACATTATCACTATAAATACTCTCATTGGTGGATGCTGTAGGGCTAAGAGGGTAGATGACGGAATTAAACTTCTCCATGAGATGTCAAGAAGAGGATTAGTTCCTGATTCAGTTTCTTACAACACTCTTATTCACGGGTTCTGTCAAGCGGGGGATCTTAATGCTGCTCAAGACCTTTTCGTGGAGATGATTTCTCATGGTGTGTCCCTTGATATTGTAACTTGTAACACTTTGCTGGGCGGTTTCTGCGAGAATGGAAAGCTAGATAAGGCATTGGAAATGTTTGAGGTTATGCAGAAAAGTAAGATGGATCTTGATACTGCTACTTATAACATCATCATCAATGGAATGTGCAAGGGTAATAAGGTGGACGAAGCATGGGATTTGTTCAATAGTCTCCCCCTCAATGGTGTGGAAACTGATATCCAAACTTACAATATATTGATTGGCGTATTTGTTAAAGAAAGGAACTTTTTAAAGGCTGAAGATCTATACTTGAAAATGCTCTGTAAAGGAATAGTTCCCAATACTGTCACATATAACTTAATGGTAGATGGGTTCTGCAAGCAGAACCGCCTAGAAGAGGCCAGACAGATGGTCGATTCGATGGCTTGTGAGGGATGTTCCCCAGACGTTGTGACTTTTAATACACTCGTTAATGGCTACTGTAAGGCAAGAAGGGTTGATGACGGATTGGAGCTTTTCAGCGAGATGTCAAGAAGAGGATTAGTTCCTGATTCAGTTTCTTACAACACTTTGATTTATGGGTATTGTCAAGCGGGTGATCTTAATGGCGCTCTAGGCATTTTCCAGGCGATGGTTTCTAGCGGTGTGTGTCCTGATACCATTACCTTCCGCAGTATGCTGGCAGGTGTATGTAGTAAGGAGGAACTACAAAAGGCAGTGGCGATGTTGGAGGATCTGCAGAAGAGTGTGGTATGTCCTCTACTCACTTTTGTACTTTCCTTTTGAGTTTTGTAGATGAATTTATATATATACAGCTTTGGCTGCAGAGCTTCTAGTGTAGCTTCTGGAGAAGTTTGCAACTGAATGTCTAAGTGAAATTGAAGATACATATTCCATCTTACCCTCTCTGATTAGCTTGGTATGTTTGCTTTGCTCTTTGCAGGATCATGAATTGGAGGATGAATGAAAGAATTGGAAGATTCAATGCCATTTTGGCATTTTCCTTTTTGATTCTCTTATGTTCGTTACACTTGTTAACTTTTTAATTCATCATGTTCAATGCCATTTTGGCATTTCTCTTTTGTAATTCCATTTCTACTATATTTATGGTTCTGCTCTGTAAAAGTTAAATGGAACTTGTTAAGAGCTGAAGATATTTACTTTTACTGGATATGTGTTCATGTAGAGGAAAAAGTTTCAATTTTCAAGCTCAGTTCCATTTTTATCAGAGTATAGATATTTCTGAAAGCTGTTGCATTTAAGCTGAGTTTTGTTATTTCTACTGGCGTTGACGCGAACCGGAAGTATGAACCGGGAAATCGCGTTTGAATTTTGACTTGGACCGGATTTACGTTTTACATATAAAGAGATAACCACAAAAATGTTACGGTTTCTTATTAACCGTAAACCGGAAATTGGGAGCCACGTAAATTAGGGTCGCCTTCTTCCTCTTCTCGACATCGGAAGAATCTTCTTCAGTGCCGAGAAAAAAAAAAAATGGCTGCAATCAGAACGATGACGAACATGATTCTACGCGAGTTTATTCATCATCCACTTCTCCTTCACTCTTCATCGAAATCGTGTCAATCTCTTTTGCCATGTCTCCGTCTCACTCCCCTAATTGCTCCATTTCACTCTAATTCCCGATTTGGATCCATCCGATGTGCGGCGTCTACCTCCGGTGGAAGCAATGGTGATCGTAAAGTCTCTTCACGGTTGTCGCAGGTTCAACAGATGCTTCATGAAGCTGAAGAGAGAGCTAATTCCGCTGGCAATGAACCTACTCCTCAAATCACTCTTGGTAAAGCTTTTGCTTTATCTATTTAGAAAGAAACTGAGTTCAGTTTTAAGAAATAGGTTATGGAGAATTCTACTTTATGTAGAATTGGATGTGCTCATAGTTTCATGTGTATCTGTTTTTGGTATTTGCAGACCATGTTACACTTAACTTTGCTAGAAGTGGTGGTCCTGGAGGCCAGAATGTGAACAAATGTGTGACCTTCTTCTTGCACCTTTTAACCGTTATTTGTGTTGTAGTTTTTTGGCTATTCGATGTCTCAATGCTTTCACATGTACCAATTCTTTTGCAGTGAATACCAAAGTAGATATGCGCTTCACTGTGAAGAACGCGTACTGGCTAAGTGACAGGATCAGAGAGAAAATCATACAAATGGTTTGTTTTCTTACTACGAGTGCGAGTTTTATCTCTATCGTGTTCCATGGAGAGAGTAGAGATAATTGTGAAAATGTTGTTTGATATTTGAATCTTGATCTCGTAGGGGCCAAAATTTAGGACAATAGAGTATTTGGCTTTTTGTTTCTCTGCGTAGTGTATTTAGCTTTTTGTTGTTTGTCAATAGGAGAAGAATCGGATCAACAAGGACGGTGAACTTGTGATATCTTCAACCAAAACCAGAACGCAGAAGTCAGTAACTTAATAATCTTTTCTATCATATACCATTTTCAATAACTTCTCCATTTCTGACTGTGTGTTCCCTTGCAGAGGCAATATCGACGATGCACTTGAAAAACTACAGGTAATATACCAAATGGCTCTATTGAATATCGCGTCTTTTGGTCATGGTGTGTTTCTTTTTTTCTAAAGCGGAGATGTTTTGGTTTAATCACATAACTGAACAGGCGATAATTGATGCGGCTTCGTATGTTCCACCTCCACCATCAGAAGAACAGAAGAAAAAAATTGTAAAGATGTGAGAACCAACCAAACCAAATCCTTTTTCATGATTCCATTGTGTTAACTCTCAATCCTCAAATCTTGACGTGGTGAATTCTTACATTTTCAGGGCTGAGAAAGCTGACAATAAACGACTTAAAAGCAAAAAAGTTCTTTCAGACAAGAAATCTTCGAGAAGAAGCCGTGGTAGTTACGATGATTAAACTTAAACCATACAATGGAGTCCAGGTTGATTCTATGCTTTTAACTTAGATGATTATGTCATTTTCTTGGAATTTAATGTAACACAACAATCAGATCTTCCAATAAAAACTGCAGTATATTGGATTTTATGTACAAACCACTCTTAGACAAATTATGAATAAAGAAAGTATCAAACATAACTTTCCACACTTTTTGTTTTACTTTCGAATAACATGTTCTTCTCCTGATCTTTGATCAAAATGCTTGATCCATTTTCTTTTGTTGTTGTTATCACTCTTCCCAGAGCTTCTTGCTGCGGCAACATGAGCGATTTCTAGACCACCGGAAACTGGAAGAGTCACTGTTCTCACAACATTCCGGTCGCTAAATGCTTTTGTCCAACTGAAACATGAAGTGCTTCTTCGGTAACCGCTTCTGCATACCACAACCGCTCCTCTGCTTCCAAACACAGCGTTTCTCAAAACGTTTGCTGCAAAATCCTTCTGATCCCAGTCAACTACCAAGAAATCTATTCCTTGTAACGTCAGCATCGTGTGCTCCAATTCTTCTTCTTCCTCGTTCATAATAATCGTCTCCGGCAAGTTTGAGCAAGATTGTTCGGTCATGGCTTGAAGATAAGCAGTTTGTGATCTTGCGTTTGGTACGATACAAATGTGTCTTCCGTTTGTGTGTCGACTCGCTATGTTTAAGCCAACGCTTATGGCTATGGTTTCTCCTTCTGACCATGTTTCCACGATTAAATTCGCGTTCCATCCTGCCGCCATCGCCGCCACTAGCTCTGCAGCTCCCGGCGTTCCAAGATTTTCGCACTGCAAAAGTTGCCCAAAAATTATATAAAAAACGTTAAAATTGTTACAAGAAGGCCAAAACGTGCAAGATTAAAGTATACGAAAAAAACTTTCAAATATAGATAATTGGGTTTTTGAGAAATGTGAAAACGATCGAAAGAAAGCTTTACTTCTTGAAAAAGTATGAAATCTTTTTGAAAACGTTGCAAAAGTCTTGGAGTTAATGAACGGAGGAAATGAACTTACCGATTTAACGGTGTCGATGTAAGCCTTTGATGCAGTTTCCGGTGACCAAATCAATTTCATCTTCTCTTTGATTGTTTGCTTTCTAACGTCTTCGTTGGGTCAGATACAGAGTCTAGCGTAAAACCTCCAAACGATGTGTTGCTTTTATAAACAACACATGAGAACATGAGAAAAGTCTTTGTGTTGATATTTTTTTGGGAAAAAGTGTTTGCGCGTAATAGTCAAACATTGCCCCTTATACTTTTGGTCTATTTCGTTTTGGCACAAATGTTATGTAACTTAGTTAAGTACCACAAATAAAAACTAATTCATGGTGATTTAGTGGATGAATGAGTATTTCATTGTGATTTTAATTATGATTAGCCATTATCCTACAACAAAACCCATATCAATCTCCATATAAATTTGATTGAAAATACAGTGGGAAGACTCGAACGCTAAACCTTTGATATTTTCATGAGTTATTTAACCACTAGACCACCACGAATTGGTTAACTATAGACACATTAAATAATTAAAATATTTTCACAGGTTTCGAAGATTGATTCAAATTTTTCAGTTACAAAAAAAAAAATAGAATATCTAAAACACCATTAATCTACTAATACCCTTTAACATTTCATGATTGCTTTTTCGGAAACTCTATATGTTCAGATAAAGTGTGAAAATCATTTAACATCCTAGTCAAACTTGTGTTTCTTCTCTTTTAAGTTTTAACTAACAACCATAGTTAAATCTAAACTAGTACTTGAAGTTTTCAATTTATTTATAATGGAAAATAATAAATAAAACTCTTCAAGCAAAATAGATCCTGTATTTTTAACTTGTAGTAAGTATTAGATAGAATCCAAAAAATTGACATGCATAGAGTAGAAGATAATATAATGGGGTTAAATCTGTAAAACATCATAAAACTAGGGGTGCATAACTAATTTATCCGAAAGATGATTTATTCTCTGTTTCTTTTTCTTGAAAGATAGGTTGCGTTGTTAGATCGTTGACATTAAACATTTTGTCCAGGAGAATCCGACGTGTTAGAGTTTTGGATTTGGATTAAAACGAGATTAAACTACTTAATCTTTAATTAGTAGTCGGAACCGGCTTAAACATATTATATATAAATAAATTCTTGAATTGTCCATTGCTTTGGTACAATAGATACTAACTCTCCCTAATTGAATTGACTTGGTACTATGTAGATTAGTATTTATGGAATATATTCCACGTACTAAGTAGGTTGTTGGTGATTATTCTTCATATTTTAAATTTAGTTTCGTAAAAAGTTTTTCATATCTAATTAGATGTTAGTTAGTTGAATTAAGTTAATGATATTTCCACCACCCACGTCCTTTGTTAAACCAAAATCAGAACGATTCTTCCGTTGATGGTTTTGGACATATTTTTGGATTTGGTCGGCAACTAGTTTTGGACCTTTTGGTCATTTATTTGCTAAAGAATCAATAAAGTTGATCGTATTCATACACAACGTATAAAACATGTATATGCATTTAAGTCGAATACAACATCATACTAATCGTTACATATATTTTCAACAGTCCGTCGGTTTAATATTTGAGCAAAACTCACATAAATTTTCAGAAAGCGGTCGGTTTAATATTTTAACAAAATTATCGGTTCAAGATCTTACAGAAACTAAGAATTGGATAATCTGATGACATCTTACAAAACAAATATATATATTATACGTGTACAAATCGTATATATGAAAATACGTGCACATTTTACAAAGACACAAATATGAACTCAAAAACAGCTGTTATATATATATAATACTAGATCATCACCCGTACTAAAGTACGGGTTGAATTTTATTAATATTAGAATAAATATAAAAAAATTTCTATAATACTCAATTATGGATAATTGTTTTTTTAAGATATGAAAACGGAAAATAATTTTATTTTTAAAAAAGTAATATTTTTTGAACAATGAGTTAATTTATGTTAACAACCACAAAATAGGATTGCATATATTTCAGTTAGATCAAAAATTAAAATATCATAAATGAATCGCATATAAAACATAGATTATTTTGAATTAATTAAGAAAATTAGCTATTATTTTGAATTAATTTAGAAAATTCTTTTTTAATTTATAATTCTTTGGTTGTTGAAATAGAGATTTGTTTGAGCTAATCTAATTACAGAATTTGTGTGAGATTTATAATTACGGAATTTACCAATTATTCGCATAATCGAATATGTTATAAACATATATTTAGTATATAATAATACCAAAATCAACCCGTGCGTGGAGTCTATATTTTTATTTTAGAATCTCAATATTTCATTTTAAAATATTGCGTGCACAATCTATTATTCGTTAATTCTAAAATTGCTTGTGGAATCAAATTTTCAAATATTTAGAGGTGTCAAACCATATTTAAATGTTCTACACTATTTTTAAATATTCCAAATTAAAATCTTTAAATTTTTTTTGTACTTTATAAAATTATGAATTTCAAAAAACAAATTATATGAAATTAAATATAACTATTCAAATAGTTATAAGGATCAAAACTCATTTCATCATATAATATTTATATTTAACCCGCTACCTATTATAAATATTTTTAAAAATAATCAAATTAGAGTATTTATAATTTTTAACTTTTTGAACTATTAAGTATTGATGATATTCTCTAAAAATATCAAGTAAAACTTATTTTAAATGTTTCAAATTAAAATATTTAAATTTTTATTGTAGTATATAAAATTATACATTTCAAAAAAATAAATGTATGAAATCGAATATAAATATTTAAATTCTGACCCGTTACTCAGTCGGAATTTTTGTTGACTTTATTTTTGTGTTAAAGAAATATATTACTCAAGTCTCAATTTTTGATCCGTTTAATTGTTGAGAAATTGTTAAAAATGCCCCTTTTTCAATACCCCTTTTCAAAAATGCCCCCTTTGAGAGTCCATTTTTAAGTTTGCCCTCTTTTAATTTTTTAATGACCATTTTACCCTTATTTGAAACAAAATTAGGTCCACAAAATACAAAATATTTTTTGGCGGGAAAAGTGATCCCGCAATTTTCCCGCCAAAACACTTGTAAAAACCTTTAAAATACCTTGTAAAATTTTCCCGTAAAAATTTTTCCCGCCAAAAATTTTTTTTGCGGGAAAAGTGATTCCGCAATTTTTTTGGCGGGAAAATTTTTGGCGGGAAAAATTTACAAGGTATTTTAAAGGTTTTACAGAGTATTTACAAGTGTTTTGTAAGGTTTTACAATGTATTTTAAAAGGTTTTACAAGGTACTTATAAGGTTTTATAAGGTATTTATAACTTGTAAAACCTTATAAAAAACTTGTAAAACCTTATAACTTGTAAAACCTTATAAAATAGCTTGTAAAATCTTATAATATCTTATAAATACCTTATAAATACGTTGTAAAACCTTTTAAAATACATTGTAAAACCTTATAAATACCCTGTAAAAAACCTTTAAAATACCTTGTAAATTTTTCCCGCCAAAAATTTTCCCGCCAAAAATTTAACGCCAAAAAATTGCGGAATCACTTTTCCCGCAAAAATTTTTTTTTGGCGGGAAAATTTTTTGGCGGGAAAAAATTTTACGGGAAAATTTTACAAGGTATTTTAAAGGTTTTTACAAGCGTTTTGGCGGGAAAAATTGCGGGATCACTTTTCCCGCCAAAAAATATTTTTTATTTTGTGGACCTAATTTTGTTATATTTCCTTATATATTTGTGATATCTTTTATTAAAAGAAGGGTAATTTAGTCATTTTGTACATAAAAAAGGGTATTTTTAAAAATGGACAGTCAAAGGGGGTATTTTTGAAAAGGGGTATTGAAAAAGGGGCATTTTTGTGAGTCTCCCTTAATTGTTTCCTTTATAGATTGAACAATTTATATGCGTTTTTCAAAATTCAAATCTTGGCATATGCAGAAAAAAATTACTTTTTTTTATTATGTACATGATATGATGATTTATTTGTTTCATACTAATATAGTCATATTAAGATGAGAGGTGAAGTTTAATGATTAATAACAAATTAATATGGTAAGTTAGATATCAAATCTTATATGTTCATTTTGATTGGTCATTTAAAAAAAAAAAAATAGATTTTCGTTTTATAATTTAATTAAATTAATTAAATGACATAAATTAGTATTTTACTTGTTTATCCTTAATAAATTGAATGAAATTTGTTCTAAAAGAAGATTTTTGTAATGGCATTCTTAAGTAAATTCTTACAAAAGGGAAGGTTAGTTAAGGGTATCTTATAAAGTGTACTCCCCAAATAATAGTATAGGATACTTAGTCGTACATTGTTGATGTATGTTGCTTTCCCATTAGATGCATTTGCGATATTAATGTTTTTTGTTAAGTGGATGTTTTCATTTTGATATTTTCTGATGCTGATACACGATACTTTTGAATTTTGATAGTATCTTCAGCTTTCTTATCCATCTTATTATATAAACTGCTGATGTGTTTTTCTTTTTGTTTCCTTGTACACTAATCTTTTAAACGATAACATGCACTAATCTTTTAAACGATATCGACATCTTAATATTTTGCTAATCTAATTTTTCATAAGGTCGTCATATGCAAATATGACGTGCGCATGGTAGACAAAGCATAAGGTTATATGCTACTTTGCGAAAACTAACTACTGTTTTATAGAATATTTGTTCAAAATATCAATCTACATTTTAACAAAAAAATATGTTGATCAAAGATTTTCCTAGAGCCCAAATGATAATTTGGCTGTTTTAGGTAATATTTTTATTTTATCACATGCGTGATGAGATCATAATTTCTAAGTACATACTATATACATCAATTGCGCCATTTCTAGTAGTACCAAATGTATTTGTTCCCCACAAATTAATCCTAATAATGTGATTGGGTAACAAAGAAGAATTATTTTGTTCTTTCCATTTTGAAAACGACCCTAGAGGTTTTGATCAAAAGAATATTAGGTTATGTTCCCCATTTTCTTTCCCATTTTCTAAAATTTACTCTTCTATTGGATGATACATGAAAGAATTTGTTTTTATCAAATTCACATTCCACACTACTGCTGCTAGACTGATTGTATCGATCAAAGTGTTACTATTGCCCTAAAGGAAATAGATTATCAATGGTATATTTGTTTGGGATTCAAGTTTTTCTTTTTTTCAACGTTTCATTAAAACTAAAAGAAAAAGACCATAATGTCAAAACACAAGATTCATAAAAGAAATATCGTAAAACATAATCAGCCCCTCATCATCTCTTCCATGATCTTTGTGTGTGGCCAAGCCGGACCTTCCAAAAGCTAGGTATGATTACAAACGTCCATCCCAAATTTAAACCAGTCAATTCCAATTGAATAAGTCGAATATAACATGGTCGCAGTTACATCAAAATTGTTATTTCGTGCTGTTAGATACTATATTGTGACATTTCTAGTAATACCAAATGTAATTATTTCCCATAAATCAATCCTAATGATGGGGTTGGGGCACAAAGAAGAATTGTCTTGTTTTTTCCATTTCGAAAACGACCCTAGAGAGGTTTGATTAAAAGCATATTAGGTCATGTTTCCCACTTTCTTTACCACTTTCTCAAAATTACTCTTCTATTGGATGATAAAAAGATTTTCGACAAAATACACACTATTGCTGCTTGATTAATTTTTTTCAATGAAAGTGTAACTATAGCCCTTAAAAATTAGATTATCCATGTTTTTTTTTCCTGTCTATGACTTAAAATGGCATGTGGCGTGGACATATGATGTATATCATATGAATTGTTAAATTCAATAAATCAGTGATCAAGCTGGAAAAATATGATCTATGATGTTAATATCTGTTGGGATTCGACTGATTATCTTTGAAGGGAAATAGATTATCTTTTTAGCTTTGACGATAGCCCAGCAGTGAGCCACTTACTATGATGTTATCGATGACATCCGAGCTCTATGCTCCTCCTTTAAACTTCTTATGTTTTCTTTCATTCCTAGATGTTCTAATAGCAAAGCTGATGCTTTAGCTAAAAACGCTCTTCAAGCGATTGTAACAAACCTTGTTCCTTGAGTTTACTTAATGGAATCTCCTTCTGACAAAAAAAAAAAAAAAAAACGGCTGTGAATGCTCCTTTGAGATTCGACCGTTGCGAAGGTTACAATATCTTTTTTTTTTTTGTCAACCAAGGTTACAATATCAATAACTTAAATTATACACTAAAGACCAACATTGTCTCAACATTTTTGTTCGTAAGTGTTTGTTTGGGTTTCTATAGGCCCATTGGGCTTATTGTGAACGCTTTTTATTATTTCGTGCTGTCTTCAACTATGTCAATTCAATCACAAAAGGTAATATATTTGAGACTCAAAATTTAAAATACTAAACAACATATAGACGTTAGGAAAGTAGCCGTTGAAAGAACAAATAGTGTCTCAACATTTTTGTTCATAAGGGTTTGTTTGGGTTTTTCTAGGCCCATTGTGTCAAAGTGTTAAATCATTCACAGACGGTAATATATTTGAAACACAAAATTTACAACGGTAAAAAAATATAGACGTTAGAAAAGTAGCCGTTGAAAGAACAAATCCAAGCTGCCTATATAAGTGATTCGTGCCCACAACATTACTTCCCACACTCATCTCTTCTTCTTCAACCTATGTTTTATTATCACTTACCATTCTCGTAGATTCAGAAAGCAAAGCAAAGCTTCATCATCCAAAGCTTTCTCGTAGTCAAACTCTGCTTTAAGGTTGGTAAGTGTTACTAGATGTTTCTCTATTTACTATGTTCTTTTTTTTTTTGTCTTTGTTACTTAATCATGTTCTCTTCTTCTCACTAGTCACTAAAGTACCGTCAGTTTCAATTTATACGCATAACAGTGTTTAATGCTGTCTAAAATCATCTCTTCTCTGTTTTGCAGGTTCTCTCGGTAAGGATACCAGAAGTCTCAAGGTTTTATGAAACAGAGAAGAACCAGAGGTGCATTCAGACTCTGCTTTTCAGTTTGGTAAGCGAACTGAGCTCATAATGAGAAAGAGATAGATGTTGGTAGTTTCCTGTTGTTTTGTTGCAAATCATCTCATCCTTGAGACAATTTCTGACATCTTAAGACAGTTTCAGCAGGTAGAGAAAGAAGAACTAATGACATGTCAAAGTCACGACAAACGATCCACGGCGACCGTTGGCGGCGAAACTTTACACTTGGCGGAGGATCTTCTCGTTGACTAATACTCCATGATCATCGCCTTTATCCTCGGCATATCCAGCGTAATGTTCAAGGTACTTTATCTCGCTTCTTCTGATTATTGCTCTGTTAAAAAGCCAGTATCATCGTAAACTCTTTTTGTTTTGATGCTTAAGATTTGGTGAGTTGTCAGATTTTATAGGTTAACTCTCTGATCCATTAACTACTCGAACTTTTATATGTTAGCTCGTGTTCGTTCAGTTTTTCTGATTTTTCAACATTGCATTTCCGAACTTGCTACTAATTATTGAATGCTTGTTTTATTAAAATGTTCCCCAACTTCTCAAGGCTTGCAAAACTGTGATTGTATCATACCCTAGCTTTTCCGACAGACCAATATTGGTCGATTGTTTTGTATCCTATTATGGGAATATTATTTTGACCCGGTTCAGGCAATTGTTGCAGAAAAAGATCACACTTTATTTGACATTTCCTCTGTACAAGTTGTTGGAACTCAATTTTACACAAGTGGCTCCCTCCGGCCACTGGCGACTTTTCCGGTGATGTCCAGAATGACCGGATACCGGATAATGGAACATTTGGATTCCTTGTAAGATAGTGTATCTACTTGAAAAAATTGAAGTTATATTGAATGAGTAATTGAGGTCCAAAGTGGTAAGAGCTTATAAACTACAAATGTAATTTAATGTAATTTTGTCCCACATTGCAAATTTGGCGTTCACTAGCTATGGCGAAGGAGATACATGCATATTATGCAACTCAGTACAAATGCAACGGCCCACAAAAGAATATTTTTTTTGGGGAAAATACTTATGAGGTTTTTGAACATTTCCTACATAATAAGTTTTGGCCCAAATCGAAAACCCATTAACGAATTCAAACTTACATAATTAAAAGGCATATTCGAATATTCCAAATTCGAAATCGAGCTCGCGTAACAGCTCCGGATTTCTCTCCCACGATCTCGAACTGGGCCGAGTCTTCCGCCTCTCCACCTCGCGTCTCAACTTCCCGAGATCCTTGCGCAAGAGCCTGGATTTTCGGATTGCACCTTCCTCTCCTCTTCGCTATAAAGGCAAGCCTCCTCTCATTCATTTCTATCACTTGCTTATCGCAAAATCGCAAACAACAAACAACTCTCTCCCTCTCTTTCTTTCTTCTCAAAGTAAGTCTCAAGAGTATATCGTTTATATCAAGTTCGTAGATTCCGCTATCAAGTGATGCGATATCGGTCTCATCGTGATTGTATCCTACGATCCGCTGCTCATAAAACCGCCCTACACTGTTTGGATTACGGAAAGAGATATCATATCTCTCGCCTTCACGCGTTTTCTTATACATATCCAAGAGGAGATAGAGGCAAGCGTTGATGGGGGATGATGCCATTGTTTGAAGGCAATTTAAAATTTTTTAGAATTAATTGTGCCGTCATAATTTAGTGATATAAATAACTACAACATACCCAATTATTTTTGTATAATGATTATGAAATTTCACTTGTATTCTTTTAAGCGAAAACACAAGACTCAAATTCTGCATTTTTTGTGTTTTATTAAAATATTATACAGAAAAATCTTGATTAAAAAAACGTTATTCATTATGTGTGAGTGTGACTGTGTGTTACGAATCAAAAACCTATCCAAACAAATAACAAACCGAAACTACAAAGTAAATGGGCTGGGCAAGACCCATACATTTCGGGCCCAATATCTAAACGTTGCCGTATACTTTCCTTTTTTAGCTAAGAAAAGAAGACTACACTTTGGTAGACTCGTCACTCACATCATCACACAGAGAGCAAGAGGCATGTCAACAGAGACTAAAGAAACCCGACCCGAAGACCCGGAAACCCATTCTACTGTGGATTTACCCGGTGAAGAACCTCTCGGAAAGCTTATCGCTGACGACGTGAACGACGTCGTTTCTGATGCGTCGGCGACGGAGACAGACTTCTCACTCTCCCCGAGTCAATCGGAGCAAAATATTGAAGAAGACGGCCAAAACTCACTCGATGACCAATCGCCATTAACGGAGCTTCAACCTCAGCCTCTTCCTCCTCCTCCTCCAATCGAAACACGAATCTCAGAATCGCCCGGTGAAGAAGAATCTTCCGATCTGGTAACGGAGCAACAATCACAAAACCCTAATGCGGCGGAGCCTGGTCCTAGGGTAAGAAAACGACGCCGTAGGAAGCGTTTCTTCACTGAGATTAACGCGAACCCAGCTTTCTCCAGAAACCGCCGCACTAGCGTCGGCAAAGAGGTGGATTCAGAAGCGCTAATCGCAATGTCGGTAGGGTTTCCGGTTTATTCGCTCACGGAGGAAGAAATCGAAGCTAATGTGGTTTCGATCATCGGAGGTAAAGATCAAGCTAATTACATTGTTGTGAGGAATCACATTATCGCTCTGTGGCGATCTAATGTCTCGAATTGGCTAACGCGAGATCATGCGCTTGAGTCTATACGTGCTGAACACAAAACCTTAGTTGATACTGCTTACAATTTCCTTCTTGAGCATGGTTATATTAACTTCGGGCTTGCTCCGGTTATTAAAGAGGCGAAATTGAGGTCGTTTGATGGCGTAGAGCCGCCTAATGTTGTGGTTGTTGGGGCGGGTTTAGCTGGTTTGGTGGCTGCTAGACAATTGTTGTCAATGGGGTTTAGGGTTTTGGTTCTTGAAGGTAGAGATAGACCGGGTGGGCGGGTTAAGACTCGGAAAATGAAAGGTGGTGATGGTGTTGAGGCAATGGCTGATGTTGGTGGAAGTGTTCTCACCGGAATTAATGGGAATCCGCTTGGGGTTTTGGCGAGGCAACTCGGTTTGCCTCTTCATAAGGTTAGAGATATTTGTCCTTTGTATCTTCCCAGTGGAGAGCTTGTTGATGCTGGTGTTGATTCTAAGATTGAGGCATCGTTTAATAAGTTGTTGGATAGAGTTTGTAAGCTTAGACAGTCGATGATAGAGGAGAATAAATCAGTAGATGTGCCTTTGGGAGAAGCGCTTGAAACATTTCGATTGGTTTATGGGGTTGCTGAGGATCAGCAAGAGAGAATGCTCTTAGATTGGCATTTAGCAAACTTGGAATATGCAAATGCTACATTGTTGGGAAATCTGTCAATGGCGTATTGGGATCAAGATGATCCGTATGAGATGGGCGGTGATCATTGTTTTATCCCAGGTGGGAACGAAATATTTGTACATGCGTTAGCGGAAAATCTTCCGATTTTCTACGGGAATACCGTTGAAAGCATCAGATATGGAAGCAACGGGGTTCTTGTTTACGCAGGAGACAAAGAGTTCCACTGCGATATGGCTCTTTGCACGGTTCCGTTAGGTGTTCTGAAGAAAGGTGCGATCGAGTTTTATCCCGAGCTTCCTCAGAAGAAGAAAGAAGCGATTCAGAGACTCGGATATGGATTGTTGAACAAAGTGGCGATGTTGTTTCCGTATAATTTCTGGGGCGAAGAGATTGATACTTTTGGGCGATTAACTGAAGATTCGTCCACTAGAGGAGAATTCTTCTTGTTCTACAGCTATTCTTCTGTTTCCGGTGGTCCATTACTTGTAGCACTTGTAGCTGGTGACGCTGCAGAAAGATTCGAGTCATTGTCGCCTACTGATTCCGTTAAACGGGTCTTGCAGATACTACGCGGAATATATCACCCAAAAGGAATTGTTGTTCCTGATCCGGTGCAAGCCCTCTGTTCCAGATGGGGCCAAGACAAGTTTTCATACGGTTCTTACTCATATGTTGCGGTTGGATCATCAGGAGATGATTACGACATTTTAGCTGAGAGTGTTGGTGACGGAAGAGTGTTCTTTGCAGGTGAAGCTACTAACCGACAATATCCAGCAACAATGCACGGAGCCTTCTTAAGTGGAATGAGAGAAGCAGCAAACATACTTAGAGTTGCTAGAAGAAGAACATCATCGTCGGCTTCAAATCCTAACCAGACCTGCATTGACAAAGAAGAAGAGGTAGACGAAGAAGAAGACAGCTGTTTGGATCAGTTATTCGAGACACCCGATCTGTCATTCGGGAATTTCTCGGTTTTGTTTACTCCAAATTCGGATGAACCTGAATCCATGTCATTGTTGAGAGTTAGGATCCAAATGGAGAAACCCGAATCGGGTCTTTGGCTTTACGGTTTAGTAACTAGAAGGCAAGCTATTGAGCTTGGGGAAATGGAGGGAGATGAGTTGAGAAATGAATACTTGCGTGACAAGTTAGGGTTTGTACTCGTCGAAAGGAAGAGTCTATCTCAAGAAGGAGAATCGATGATCTCTTCACTCAAAGCTGCGAGATTGAATCGACAGATCTTTGATTAGTAATAAAATAGATTTAGATGGAATTGTATTCGGCTACGTCTACGTCTCTTATTTGTAAATTGCTGTTGTAATGCTATTTTTGTAGTGCTATTTTTGTCAATTGCCCTAATGTTAAACAATTTTTTGAGTAGCTTAATCTGATTGCTGTAAAAAAAAAAAGTAGCTTAATCTGATAAAACAAAACATGATTACACATAAATTTACGATTATTTTGTGATTCCACAGTTTATCAAATATAATTGGTTTTTGTTTGTCAGTATAATCACGTTTTACATGAGCGTTTCCAATAATAGAATATATATGTGACATAATTAAATTTAGATTCCATCATTGCATGGAAACTCTCTTCGAGGTCCGTTTCCCGTTTCCGAAACGTTTCGGAAACGGAAACTCTTCGGAAACACGAAAAACGTCACGGAAACACGTTTCCTAAAAATCTATGTTTGGAAACACGATGGAAACTCACGTTTCCAAAATGGAAACGCGACAAATTCTTTTTATTGACTTTGGAAACTTAATAAATAAAAGTTAAAAATATTAAGTTTTATAATACATATAACTAATTTTGGAAGACTCTGAGTTTTAAGATCTTTCTATCGACAAACTATATTTGGAGGCATCTTTATATGATCTATGATGAAACTAATAAAAATGAGAATGAAAATGTTGGTCTAAATTAAATATTTGAACTTGAATCTCTTAATCTTTATCTTTTAGAATTTTAGTTAACCTATTTAATATTGATGTTTTGGACTTGTATTGTTTAATTAAACCATTTTTTATTGTTTTATGTTAATGTTATATATATATATATACATATATATTATATATATATATATATATATATATGGATACGTTTCCAAAACGTTTCCAATCCATAATTTTAGAAAAAAATCGTTTTCCGTTTCCGAAACGTTTCGCTTCCACGTTTCCGTTTCCGTTTCCATGCAACATAGGTTCCCATTACTTCATTCCATTCAAACATAATTTTGAAAATTTTCATCTAGAATCCAAAATCTTAAGTATCTTACCAATCAAAAAGCAAAATCATAAATAGAAGATCACATAATATATTCCACCATCACAAAATTACCCAATAAGAATCTTCACATGGGCTTTCTAAGCCCATATAAATGGACCATAGATCTTTAACCAGTTCAAGACGACGACGTATGGTCGTTTCTCTCTCTTCAAATAAAAAAACGCTACACAGTACACACTCGTCGTCGTCAGGAGCAAAGACAATCTGATTGATTTCTCCAAGAGATCCGACCCGAATTCGAAAACCCGAAAGAACCGAATCGAAGATGGGCAAGGATGGTTTGAGCAACGACCAAGTCTCATCAATGAAGGAAGCATTCACGCTCTTCGACACAGACGGCGACGGCAAAATCGCACCGTCGGAGCTCGGAATCTTAATGCGATCACTCGGCGGCAATCCAACAGAATCACAACTCAAATCAATCATCACGACGGAGAATCTCTCGTCTCCGTTTGATTTCAATCGATTCCTAGATCTAATGGCGAAACATCTGAAAACAGAACCGTTCGATCGCCAGCTTCGTGATGCGTTCAAAGTACTCGATAAAGAAGGTACTGGATTCGTTGCTGTTGCAGATCTGAGGCATATACTTACGAGTATCGGTGAGAAATTGCAGCCGAGTGAATTCGATGAGTGGATCAAAGAGGTTGATGTTGGATCTGATGGTAAGATCCGGTATGAGGATTTTATTGCTAGAATGGTTGCTAAGTAAGATCTAAATTTTGAATTTTGAAATTTGAATTTTTGGATTAGAACGAATCTTTAGGGTTTGTTCATAAAATGTTTAATTGTTAATGTAATTGGAAATTTGGTGTTAGGTTCAATTCCCCAGAATTGATAAATCTCTTTTATCTGTTTTATGATTATGTAATTTAATTGAGTTGGATTAAGCTGTGTTATTCGAAAAGATGGTTCTTTTTTTTTTTTATATATTGAATTCTGCAAATGTTGTATATGTTCATTGGTGCTTGAACTTGGTTCTTCATGTTCTGCATCAAATCGTTGCTCTTTTGTGTGTGATTGTTTTGTTTGTTTGAATATCGTTGGAATGGTCTAATCTATGTGTGTTGGGTTTCCATGAAAACATTATTTATTTTGATGTGTGTAGATCAATGATACACAGAAAGTGTCTCTCTTTTCTACTTTTCGTCCGTGTTTATTAGAATTGAGGAAAGTGGGATCTCGAGGTGTATTGCACAAAAAAAAAACATGCAATAATGGAACTTATTATTGAGCAAGAGAGAGGACATGGACACGTAGTGTCGTATTAAGAGAAGATAAGACCAAGTGACTGAGAGATTATAAACAGACAAGAATGGGTCAAATGTTCACTTTGGTTTTACTTTAAGACAGAATCAATCGCGCCATAGGTAACATAGTGCGGTGGCTTTTGGCTAGTCTACTTTAGCTGAGCTTACCAAGGTGTCATACTAGTGTGCATCACCGAATTGGAGGCGAGAACCAAATATTGTATCGTTTAGGAATTTAGGAATAAGAGATCTTTTGGAATCATAAATCTCCACGTTTAAGTTTCAACTTTCAAGTAAAAATAAATTAAACTTATTCATATTATAGTAGCTAATTAGTCTTTAAATACTGTTTTAATTGAATGGATACCTCTCTGACCATCTAAGTTGTCACTTCATCAAAAAAATTCAAAAACCAATAAGAAATATATTTAGAGATGCGATCAAACACAGTCTAATTAAAAAATTACTTTGGTAAACTCTCGGCATCACATGGTTAGAGTTAATTAATATATAAATGATTTCACAGATGCGATCGTACTTAGACTCATGAATATATAAACTTTATTAAAATTTAATTACAAACTAGTATAGTCGAACCAAACTTAAACCAAATAGTTTTTTTCCAGTATTTTTGTGTGTGTTTACATTAGTTTTATAGCATTTGCAATGACAAGAACATTTTATAAAACAAATAGCCTAAACCAATTGCATGGTTAGAATAAATTAGTAACATATCTCATAGATGCGATCAAACGTATAGGACTTTAAAAAACCTTCATTATTGTTTATTTCTTTTAACATGTTGTTCGACTGGACTAAGTTAATTATTTATCTGTTCTCTCAGCTTTTTATAAGTTACTTTGTGAAAGATAGTCAAAAGCTCTCACTCAAACGATGGCAGAACCATCTTTTGCTCGCCTTTCTCTCTTGTTCTTCAGCTTTCTCCTTATCTTCGCCACCTATTCTTGGGTTTTGGGACCCGACTCAGGCTTCTTGTTCGGTACCCGGGTCCGGAAAACTCTCGGGTCGAATCCTAAAGTCCACGTTGATCACTCTTCAGAAAAGCCTCATCATCCACTTGATCCACTAACGGTGCGAGAAATCTCGAGAGTCCGAACCATACTCTCGGGTCATGACCCGGGTTTTGGTTCCGGGTCGGCCACGATTCACTCCATGGCTCTCGATGAGCCGGAGAAGATACGTGTCGTCCAGTGGAAGAAGGGAAATAAGCTTCCGTCACGAAGAGCTGCGGTCGTAGCTTATTGGGGTGGTCAAACACATGAGATGACGGTGGATCTTGATTCGGGTCGGGTCGTTTCTGATGTGGTTAACCGGACTTCAGGGTACCCGATTCTCACCTTGAACGACGTCTTCGCCGCTTCGCAGGTATAGATGGTTTTCTTGAAACACAGAAAATTTCCGGTTTCGCTTACCGGTTTGATTCGGTTTACTTACTAACCAGCACGTAGAAGTGTTCAATCTGAACTTCACCATTTGCGTATTTAGTGTTTTTTTTTGGGATCTCTTACAAGAACAGAAACAAACAAAACTATGGATAGGTTTTTTTGTCTGGTTATAATCAATTTTTGACCAATTCTTTATTTTTCTAATGAGTTGGTGGTTTTTCTTTCATTTCAGTGATTTTCTATTATTTTAGTTCAATTTTTGGCTGGTTCGTTATGGATCTGATCAGTTCAATTATAGAGCTCACATTTCACTCAAATATATTATTCATTTTAAACTGATCTAAAGTTTTTAGTCACATTTTTTTAGTTTAGTGCATATATATATATTTAAAGAAATAAACATTTTTTTCAATTTCACAAACCTCCAACGAATACAAGACCTTAGAGCATGATTATTGGTAGTATCTTAGAAATAAATCTTAGGAATATTTAAGTAATATATTTGTAAAAGTGATAGGTAAGAGATAGTATTTTTGGGTTAAGATTTTTGTGTGATTAATGGTAGGTTCTTAACATGTGGTTCTTAGAAAAAAAATATTAATATAAAAATAAAATTTATACGTATCAAAACATATCACTTTTATCAAACAGAAAATACGTAGAAAAAAAATATTAATATAAAAATAAAATTTATACGTATCAAAACATATCACCAAAACATATCACCAATTGACCAAAACATATCACCAATTGACCAATAAAATTGATACATATCAAAATATATCACCAATTGACAAAACATATCAAAAAATAAAATTTACACGTATCAAAACATATCACCAATATAAAAATAAAATTTATACGTATAAAATTTATACGTATCAAAACATATCACCAATACGTATCAAAACATATCACTTTTAACCAATCACAATGTGACACCTTGCAACATCTTAAGTCAAGAAAAACATCTTAACTTAGATACAAATCTTAGCTTTAAGATGTTGGTTTGATTATTTTTAATCAACTTTAATCCTAAGATTTGTCTAAGATACTCAACATTTCAACCAATATTCATGCTCTTACCCGGAGATTCCACTCTTACTAACGGTTTAATAAAAAAAAAAAAATCGGTCGTGTCAACATTATATTGTAGGTTCCTTTGAAGAGCTTGGAATTCAACCGCTCGATCGAAGCACGTGGGGTTAAGTTTTCCGATTTAGCTTGCATCACACCGTTTGCGGGATGGTTTGGACAGGAGGAAGAAGGACGTAGAGTCATAAGAGTCCAATGTTTCACATTACAAGGCACTACTAATTATTTTATGAGACCACTCGAAGGTCTTTATGTAACGGTCGATCTAGACAAATTGGAGGTTATCAAGATCGTCGATAAAGGCCCAATTCCGATTCCCAAAGCCTCGGGTACAGAATACCGGTTTGGTGTTCAGAATAAACCGGTGCATATGGATCGAATCAACCCGATTTCGATGGAGCAACCGGATGGTCCTAGTTTTAGGGTCGAAGATGGACATTTGGTTAAGTGGGCTAATTGGGTTTTCCATGTTAAAGCAGACCAACGAGCCGGTATGATCATATCTCAGGCCACGGTTCGTGACTCCGAGACAGGTATATATATACAACCTGTTAATAAAAACATAAAATATAACTACAATCCTTTGTTATGAAAAGTATTTAGGTTAAATGGTTCATTTTTTGAAATTTAACAACCATCCTTTTTTGAAAAACTTACGTCTCACGCATGATGTTTATTTATGTGGAGAGAGCAGGAGAACCAAGAAGTGTGATGTACAAAGGATTCCCATCAGAGTTGTTTGTACCGTACATGGATCCCGAGGAAGGATGGTACTACAAAGGTTATATGGATGCAGGCGAGCTCGGTTTAGGACCCACGGCCATGCCGCTTGTGCCCCTCAACGATTGCCCTCGAAATGCTTACTATATAGACGGTGTTTTCGCCTCTCCAGACGGCAAACCCATTGTTCAACCTAATATGATATGCTTGTTTGAACGCTATGCAGGCGATATCAGCTGGCGACATTCTGAGATCCTTTTTGCCAATGCCGATGTATGTCCTTTGTTTCTCTTATTTACTTAAGTATTAGGAGCTAATTAAGGGTGTTAGATCTTTTTTAGGTTTGGTTCGGATTCGATTTTAAGAAAAGCTACCGGATCGAATATATTACGAATAGGTTTAATACGATTTGAGTTTACGGTTTGGGCTTTAGTTTTAGTATAAGAGAGTAACTTTTTCTTAGAAAAAACATTCTTAAGTTCGTTTTTGTTTCTCTTTCTAACCAAAGTTAAATAGAAAAAAGTAAAACTATAATAATCATATTAAGGCTCAATTTGGTTTTCGGTCCCTCTTTTCTGGTTTGGTTCGGATCGGATTATCTTTTCTTATGCTTTGAATGGCAATTGATTCCTAAATTGATGATTTAACAGATAAGAGAGTCAAGGCCAAAAGTTACATTGGTCGCTCGAATGGCAACTTCGGTTGGAAATTACGACTATATTTTTGATTGGGAGTTTCAGACTGATGGTTTAATCCGTGTTACGGTATGCCAAAACATTTTTTTAAAATTCTGTATATGAATATATTTCTGTAAAGTTTCATTATAGTTTAATGCAATTGTTAGGTCGCGGCTTCGGGAATGTTAATGGTGAAAGGGACACCTTATGATAATGTAGATGACTTAGGTGATATGGAGGATGATTCTGGACCGTTGATCTCTGAGAATGTGATTGGAGTCGTCCATGATCATTTCATAACGTTTCATCTAGACATGGACATTGATGGACCAATGAATAATTCTTTGGTCAAGGTTCATCTAGAGAAGCAAAGAGTTCCAACAGGAAAATCGCCGAGGAAGAGTTACTTGAAGGTCAAGAAATACATAGCCAAGACTGAGAAAGATGCTCAGATCAAATTGAGCCTCTATGATCCATATGAATTCCACATTGTGAACCCAAACCGAAAATCTCGGATCGGAAACCCGGCTGGTTACAGGATCATACCGGGTGGAAATGCAGCGAGTTTGCTTGATCACGATGATCCTCCTCAAATTCGAGGTGCATTCACCAATAATCAGGTATTTAATTTTAGGCTATGTTTTATATATATCGGTTTAAGACTTAGATGTGTCAAAATGTTGATTTAACCGAGACAATTGGTTTTATCGGTTTAGATATGGGTGACTCCATATAACCGGTCAGAACAATTTGCTGGAGGAGTTCTAATTTACCAGAGCCAAGGTGATGACACACTACAAGTTTGGTCAGACCGGTAAGAAACTAATTTATGCACTATACCAATTGAGCCATACCGTTTATGGTTTGAAACATTTCTCTGAAATCTTTGTTTTTGTGTTGAAACAGAGACCGTTCGATCGAAAACAAGGACATAGTGCTGTGGTACACACTAGGGTTCCATCACGTACCTTGCCAAGAAGATTATCCGGTTATGCCAACCGTCGCGGCTAGCTTTGAGCTTAAACCGGCCAATTTCTTTGAATCCAATCCGATTCTTGGGGCTGCTCCTTTCTTCGAAAAAGACTTACCAGTCTGTAGACCGTTGGCTTCATCTTGATTGGTTCTGTGACAGAACTTCTGTCTCACATAGTTGTAGATTAGATCAAACCAACGCTTGTTAAAGTTTATTTACTGTTTTTAAATAATACCAAAACGTACATAGACCATAATGATACAAGAACGGTTGGTTTTGTTTTATTGAAATAAAACACGGTTAACATTAAGTTCAGTTCACATAAAAGTACCTAATTATTTAAAAATATATACATGAGAAGATTGATTTTCAAATAGCATCTTCAAATATATATATCTAGCTAGGTTCCAACTTCGAAGAATACGAAAATGAAATAGAGAAAAAAATATTAGATAAAGGTTCCAACTTAAGATTATTAAAATGAATATAAAATCCCCTGTCATATAGAGTTTTCAAATATCATCTTTCAAATATATAAAGCTAGGTTCCAAACAGAGTAATATTTTTTCTTTTTCGTGTCCTACAATGAATATAGAAAAAATTTACCAAAACGAAAGTGTTGAGTTAGGAGACGATGTGTCGTCGTCGTCGCATCCGGAAGTGTTTTCGAGTCTTTGCTTGCCGGGTTATGAATGCCTTGGTTCTGTTTTCGAGAGATCGGCTCTCATCAGGATAGGATGTGGCTGGAGTTTACCTTCGGTTTGGCCGTGGGCATCCGTGGTAAGTCTCTTCTACAGGTGCTTCAGAAGAAGAGTTCTTCTTGCTTCTTGAAACTAGTGTGTTTTGTAAGGTTTAAACCTAGTTGCTTATGTTTTTAGGTTAAGGGTTCGTCCTCTTTCGTTGAGCTTTGAGTTTTTTCTGCTTTGTGGGTTTACTATATTATGTTTCCCTTCTATAGGGCTTAGACTCCGGGGATTTTTCGTTTTCCTCCGGCTTTTGACTCCGATGACTTTTACTTCGTCAGTCGGCTTTAGTTTCCCTCGTTTGGGATGTGTATTCTATCTTGGTTCCAACAAGTTTATCAATAACAAATCAGTTGACAAAAAAAAAAAAAGTGTTGAGTTAGGAAATTTTTTAATCTTCATTTATAAAAAGAAAAAAAAATAGTAGATTAAGACAATTAATATGAGATCGTAAATAATATTTCATATCGATTTCAACGGTTAGCAACTTAGCATACAACCTAAAATCCTAGCTGAATCATCCCAGCTTTAATATTATCATCTATAGAGATTTGTTTCTTAATTAAAGAATGAAATTCCTAATTGTTAGAAAAAGGAAAATTTTAAACGAAAAAAAGAAAAGAATAATGTATTTTTTTAAACATGATTCATGTGGTTGGTGAACCTAAATAATGCGTTAGTTTCTCAAGACTTTTTTCAATAATTAGTCTTTTTTTTTTTGGTTCAGATTCATTTCAACTGATTCAATCAATTCTCATGAATTCCATCTTGTCAAGCGTCCTTCCTGCTCCCAAAGATCCTGTTCTCAGTGTACTACACTAATGGCTCTTTCATCGATTTCACTTCTCTTTTTTTGTTGATTTCTTATATACTTACTTATGCTGCTTCGACAAAATGTGTACTTATGTTAATCTTTTTTCTAATGTATATATTTATGATTATGGAAACAGGTAATTTTTGCTTGTAGAGATGATCCTAGTCCGGTCAAGTTGAATTTGAGCGCAGGTACCTATCGAACTGAGGTAATTTTCAGATCTTCATAATCTATATGATTAAGTTAATTATTGCCATTTTGCGAGTTCATAAACTGATTAGATTAGCCTTCTCTTTGTTTTTTTTCTTAAGGAAGGAAAGCCTCTGGTTCTTGATGTTGTGAGAAGAGCAGAGCAACAGTTAGCCAACGACCTGTAAGTTAGTAAATACAATTTATTAACAAAAGGCAACTTTTGTGTACATGAATAGAGAGATACTAAATACTTTTTAGTTTTTAATTAAATATTTCCGTTTATAGTAAAATCCTTATTTTGAGAAAAAATTATATAGTAAATAATGTAAACACGAGCGCAAACGTAAACAAATGTAATTTTCCAAATCCATGTTAGTTTGTTAATCATTATTCATTAGCCTATATGATTTTTCTGTTTTATCTCAAGGTCTAGGGACAAGGAATATCTTCCCCTTAATGGACTTCCTGAATTTAATAAATTAAGTACCAAGCTTATCTTAGGTGATGATAGGTAATGTATTCGTTGCTATCTTCTCTCATATTGTCTCTTTATTATTCATTCTACTATAAAGATTGTTTTGTTTTGGACAGTCCCGCAGTGAAAGAGAATAGAGTTGTTACAATCCAGTGTTTGTCTGGTACTGGTTCTTTGAGAGTTGGAGCTGAGTTTCTAGCAACACACAACAAAGAAGTAAACAAGTCTCACTATTTACTTCGTTTTTTCCAATGGTCATTAGAATTTGGTAAAAGAAATCACTAGCATTTCAGAACGAATTAACCGTATACTACATACAACAATTCTACAATATATATACTCACAAATTTTGCAACAAACTTTACTCGTATAAAAATTTGCTATGTACATTGCCACTTATTTGTCAATAATTTCGTTTCTCATTATTTTCAGCGTGTCATTTTCGTTCCAGACCCAACTTGGGGGAACCATCCCCGTATTTTTGCTTTGGCGGGTTTGTCTGTCGAGTATTTCCGCTACTATGATCCGAAGAGCCGAGGACTTGACTTCAATGGTGATTATAGAACTATGTCCATAAATTCTCTGTCTTTCACCTTGAATTGTTGCATTTTATCGTACTTTTTTTTATTGACCCATTCACACCAAATTTCACCAAATTTGTTTTGATATGACCCAATTGATGTTATTTCCTAAGTGTATATATACCAATCATTATTTCAAATAAAGACTTGATCTATATCAAAATAGGCATGCTCGAGGATCTTGGCGCTGCACCTCCTGGAGCTATAGTGGTACTTCAAGCTTGTGGGCATAACCCCACTGGAGTTGACCCAACATTCGAACAATGGGAACAGATTCGACGACTAGTGAGATCGAAAAGCTTATTACCCTTCTTTGATAGTGCATATCAGGTAAGTAATAAAATTACCTTTTCTTCGTTACATTGCTCTTTGATAGTGTTTTCCCTTAAGCATTATCAGCTAAGTCATAAAAGCAACATGACTCATTTTCCCCCTTAACACTTTCAGGGTTTTGCTAGTGGTAGCCTTGACTCAGATGCACAAGCGGTTCGTATGTTTGTTGCCGATGGAGGTGAATGTTTGATAGCTCAAAGTTATGCCAAAAATATGGGTCTCTATGGGGAGCGTATTGGCGCTCTTACCATTGTAAGCAACCAAACTTCTTTGCATCAACTGCTTTATTTTTATTTTTTTGCATTTAGATTTAATGAAGGGATAATCTACCGTTTACGTATGCATTTTCCAAATATATATATGAGACAATAACCTGAAAATGATGTATATTTGACAATATGCATTATTCTTTCGATTTTTTTTCACACGCAACGGCAAAAATTGAGTTTGAAATAATCTAGGCCATATTGTAATCTTCATGGGTCTAATATGAAGGTATGCACATCAGAAGATGTCGCTAAGAAAGTTGAGGACCAAGTGCTACTTGTTGTGAGGCCTATGTATCTTACCCCACCTATTCATGGTGCATCAATTGTTGCCACAATTCTAAAAAACAGGTAATTTAATGATGAAAGCTATAATGATGAAAATTTTATATAGATTTTGATTATGCTCAAAGTTTATGTGTATACATCTTGGTAGTGATATGTACAATGACTGGACAATTGAGATGAAAAGAATGGCTGACCGCATAATTAGCATGCGTCAACAGTTATATGAAGCTATACAAGCTAGAGGTTTAGTTTAGTGTCTTTTTCTTTCCTTCATTTTTTTTTTGTTAATCTTCTCATATTTGAATCATGCATACATAACTTTTGTTCAGGAACACCTGGTGATTGGAGTCACATTATTAAACATATTGGGATGTTTACTTTTACTGGATTAAGTGAAGAGCAAGTTCACTTGATTGCCAAAGAATATCACATTTACATGACTTATGATGGGTAAGGGATATATCTAGTCTTTTCAAATGATTATAGTACTAGTTAAGAGGATTATTAGGAACTAGTAGATATACATATTTAGGGCCTTTGTTTACATGTATATGTTTTTCAAATGAGACCATGACCGCTCTTGCAAACAATTTTTTTTGGTGAGGAATATATTGTCCATTTTTAAGATTTTCAAAGAATATAATTCTTTTTCCATATACTTTCAGATTAGGCCTTTCCCATTTGGAACTAAAAAATAATGTTCATGTAATCACTAGGAGAAAAAAAGAGTCTAGTGGTACATGACCACTATTTGAAGTCCCAAATGGGAATGGCATGAAGCATTTAAGACCATTACTCTTATCATAAATTCAGTTATATTTATTTGTCTGTGTTCATGAAAAACTTGGCTTCAAAATAAAAATTGTGTATTTGCAGGAGGATAAGCATGGCAAGTCTAAGTTCGAAGACAGTGCCTCAACTCGCTGATGCTATACATGCTGTTGTTACTCGCATTCCCTAAATTTGCGATTATGTTCTTTGTTGTTTTATGAATACAATTGGGGAATAAAACTGCGTTTTTGGTTTACATTTCATAAGAGAGCACAAAGAAACATATCATGGATGATTTGTTCTCTAAATTGATTACTAAACCGACCAAAATGAGGATTGTGACCTTTAAAAACCTACACAGTTTTGGTATTTTGTTTTTATTTTCAATTGTAATAAAACAATTTAGATCAAATAAATCCATTCACTGAGGAATAAATTCAAACCAATAGAGTAGAATTACATACAACAATCCAGTTTGTAAAACTCAGAAACCCATATTCAAAATCAGATATACAAATGATATAGTCCGGTTTAAACCGGTAAATATACTAACATGGGACTCAATGATGAATCAATGATAATACATAACACGTTTTTTTTAATCATTAAATAAGTTAAGCCAAAGCAAACAAATCTCGATAACAAAAAAAAAAAAACAAATCTCGTGAATTATTGAGCTAATAATAATAAACCGGGTTAACAATCGGAAAACCGTATAAATCCGGTTAAGGATTTCAGAAGAAGATAGATGAGATCAAAGACAAGATCACGGTGGTGACTCCATAACCGGCGAGCTTGTTCCCAGCTCCGGCGTCTTTTTTGGTATTCCCTGCTGAAAAATTAGAAATCCATCCATATAAGACAAATCGTCAATAATACAAATAACAATTAAAAATTATAAATAAATACAAAAAAATTAATCTGACATGTTTCATTTTTTAGTGGTTTTGTCCGAATCATTCAAGTCAATATTCGAGACAAAATAAAGTAATACACAAGTAAAAGCTGGCATTCACACTCTGTTTCTGTTTTTTATAGAGAAAACAAAAAAAAGAGAAAAATCTGGAAAAATCAAAAGATCGATTCAATGAATCAATTGAATAATTGACTTGACTAATCAACATTTGATTTAGTTAATAAACTCCGATAAAATCAATCGAATAATTCAATTAATACACAATCAAGTCGATCAATTTTTTTTTTTTTTTTTTTTTTTTTTTGCTAAGAAAGTAATTGTAAGGAGTAGGTGAAGAGTTTGGTTCATACCTGGAGCTGGAGGAGGTAAAGAAGCTTTTGGCGATGGAGCTCCTTTAGCTAAAAAAACAAAAAAAAACAAACAAAAACATGATTAATACTGAAATATCAAACTGTTAAATCTCAGATTCATAATCTCAACAAGAAAGATCTAATAAACTATGCCAATTTTCTTTGTCACATTCACATTTATCAGAATCCACAAGATCCAAACGAAAACCCCAAATTCATAAAAACTGACGACCAAGACAATTAACCCTAGTGTCATTATTGTGGTACCAACCGGTCAAAACTAAGATAATGCATGTTGTTGACAAAAAAAAATTAAAAAAATGGGAGATCTGAAAAAACAAAATTACTAACCGGTACAAGCGGAGAGATCAGTGGTGACGTTGCATCGACGGCTAAGACCAAGAGCTTTATCAGTGGTGACGTTGAACTGAGAGAGCAAACCAGGAGTGGTGTAGATTGTACATAGACATGTAAGTTCCTTCTCCACCGCTTCTTTAATCGAGTCGCAACATTCTTTAACCGGCGTTGTTGTCGTGTTCAGGTCGTTGAAGCAAGGGACTAGTTTGCTCACGCACTCAGTTTGTGCTTTAACTGCCGGAACCGAAACCAAAGCCATCACTGTCATCGCCGCCGCGAAGATCATCATTGTCTTCATCATTTTTTTTTCTTTCCCTCTCAGTTTTTTTTTCTTTTTGGGTTACTTGTGAGTTTTGGTTTTGCTTTTGTTTTTCGTTATAAATATAAACTTGCTTAAGAACCTTTCGTATTTTACCCTTTTTATTTTTAATACTCCTGTCTCTTTCTTTTTCTTGATAACTTATTTCTCAAAAACTTCAACGAGAAGATTGAATACTTTTTAGGTAATGTAATAAATTTTATTGAAAATGATGTTTATATTAATTGTCATTTGATGTAAATCTCTAGATTCTAGGATGAGTTAATCACGTTTTGTTTTCTTGCCAACTTTTGTTCTTTGTACAATTCAATTTGTAGCTGTCAAATTAATAGTATATCATCTACCAAATTCAATAAATTATGCTAATAAAGTAAGAGTATATTATCATCTACCAAATTCAATAAATTATGTTGAATTTTCTTGTGGTAGGACTAGGTCAACCTGATATACTCTGATCTTCAGATATATAACCATATAGATTAAAAAAAATAATAATAATAACCATATAGATCCAAACCAACCTTAACCATATGGTTAACCAGAGCGCAATCCAATTTTGGTAAGAATGGTTCTATAGTTCTATATATTGTTCGGTACGGGCTATAGAAAGGCCTTATAAGGTTTGGGTTAATTGGGCCTTTGCAGAAAATTTAAAAGCCTCCTTATATTGCAACGTGAACAAAATATGATCGTCAGATTTAAACGTTGAACGGTTATGATCTGATCAAACGTCTCAAAGCAACTGTAAATTCAACGGTCACAAATAGTCCCGCCATTAAAACAGATAAGAGAAGTTAGAGATAACGTAGCTAAGCAAAAAAGCAGAGCTTACACTTAGAAAAAAAAAAAAAAAATCTAATGGCTACGCTTTCGTTCGGAATCGCCGCCGCTGCAACCAACGTCCGTACAATTCCGAGATTTAATACACGGAGGAGCAAAATCTCCTGCGAATGGGTAAGAATTTGATCAAAAACAAAGTTTTCTTTGAGATTAATTTCATGAAATTGATTCTTGTTTGATTGATTCGAAGGAAGGATCCGAAAGGTGTGTTAGGTCCGCCGCAAACTGGTCATATCGCTAGGCTTGAGTTTAAGCGTAGGCTAGAGAGAGATTCAGAGGCAAGAGAAGATTTTCAGAAACAACTTCGTGAAGAGAAAGAGCGTCGTCAAGCTCTTAGACAAGTTAAAAATTCTCTTTTTTTCTTGGAACCTTATTGATTTTGGTTTTGTAGTTATATTGATTGATTTTGGTTTTGTGGGAATTGTCAGTCTAGAGTTGTACCGGATACTGCGGCGGAGCTGATTGAGTACTTTCTTGATACTGAAGCTCAGGAGATTGAGTATGAGATCGCTAGGCTTCGAGGAAGGTTAGTGAGTTTGAATGTTGCACACCATATGTTTGATGAATTTCCCCTGCGAAGATGTTTTGTTACTTTACATTCTTAAGTGAATTTGAATAGCATTTGGGAGAATAAATTGTTGAATTTGAATGTTCCGTATTCGATGAATCGACCTTGTGAAGATGTTTTGGTTCTTTAGTTTCTCAAGTGAATCCGTTTTCGTCGAAATATCAGAACTTGGGGTTATAAAATAGCATTTGGGTGAATAAATTGTTGAATTTGAATGTTGCGTGTTCGATAAATCGCCCCTGTGAAGCTGTTTTCGTGCTTTACTTTCTCGAGTGAATCCATTTTCCTCAATATATAGAAACTAGAGTAATAAATTTGGGGGTTTGAGATGACTTCTAAACTCCGAAGTAGCTCATGATTACTGTTAATTTACAGGTTAAACGACGAATTCTTTGCACAGATACGACTTGAAATCGGGCAGATTCGGTTTGCTGTTACTAAGACTGCGGTACAACTTTCTTGAAGCACCAATATTTAATCTGTCATCGAACATCGACTACTTAACTATCTTTTTTCGTTGCAAAATCATGCAGGACATTGAAGATAGATTGATTGAGCTTGAAACACTTCAAAAAGCTTTAGAAGAAGGAATAGGTTTGTGCTGTCTCTTGCTTCCTTATTAACTTACTCATGGACTCTAACGATTTTACGGGTTATGATTACTTATCTTGTTATGTTGCTTTGCAGAGGCTTATGACAAAATGCAAAATGAACTTATGACGGCTACAAATAGCTTAACCAAGATCTTAACCTCAACCGATATAAAAACCACAGTATGTGAACTTTACCATAATTTCATAAACATTATGATGCTTCATGAGATGATCTTGAGACACTGTGTTGATTCTTCTTTATATACAGTTGTTGGATATGGTGGAGAAAAACGAAATCAACCGATCTTTGTTGGCACTTCTCGACGAAAACATAGCCAATGCATACAAAGGAAACCAGGTTAGACCCTGTTAAGAATAGTTGAACTGACAAAAGAAAATTGTTCTGGTTCGAAGTTCGGTTAGGTTTGTTTTGGGTTCAGTTTTTGATTAACATATTATTTCGGTTCTTGCTCGGATCCATTTTTCCAAAACCTAAAACCCAATTAACCCGAACGAAACCGAAAAATCGAATGCCAAACCTTAAAATTGACCTTAGGAAAAAGCTTTTTAGTAATTCAAATGTTTTTGTTGCAGAAAGAAGCAGGAGATTACATGGAGAAGATACGTTCTTCGGTTCTAAAGTACTTGACAGTGTAGGATCACACGAGTCTTCGAAAGATTTCTCAGGCTTTTGAATGTTTTCTATTATCGGGTAAAAATGTATTTATATTTTTGTTTTGTTGAGTAAAATGTATTTCTTTCTTCCGAACGATATTTATATCTTTAGGGTCATTTCAGATCTCCAACAGAATAAGCTTAATGAAAAAATAACCATAACCAAATACTATGAAATTTCGTATAATATGTCAAATATTTTATTTTTCAATAAGTATCTCGAAAAATTTACGTCAGTAAGCTTTTTTCTTCATTCATTGCATGTCTGTTTAGTATGGAACCAAGTTCGCTGTAACAATCAAATCTCTTTTATTCGTAATAAATGAAACAAATCAATTTTTTTTATTTTAGAAAACAAAAGACATGAATAAGTATGGGAAGTGGGAACCTACAAAAGGAACGATAACTAAAGAAAAAGAGGTGACATTTATGAAATTGATAACTATTGGTTCCAACTTCCAAGTTCCAAGCACCACTGTGACATAATTATCCTAATTATTATCTTCACATGCATATGTTTTTTTGTTATATATACATAATACATACAGAGTAAATTAAGACTAGTAACGATAATATAGTAAAAATATATCTAAATGACTCAAGAAATTAAGTAAAGAAACATGCCCACTTGTTGTTGTCTTCTCTGTTAGCTACCGACGTACGGGGTTTTGGACAAGATTCTTTTTCTTTATCGGTGTTTACGAGTAGATTCATGTGAGTTTTGTTCAGTCAATAATCTTGAACCATACAAATTTTAATTTAAAATATAAATAACAATCATGTTACCCCTTCTTTTACAAAGTTGTAATTCAAATATTTGTTCTGGTTAAGGAACTGTCATTTCTAATGAGTTTTTTTTTCATATGAATATGGTGGAAGATAGTTACTCCATACTGCTCATGTTGACTAAAGAAAAATTAAAATCAACTTTTAGGTAAATATCTATTCAACTTTTCCTGATTACTCGGATCAACCCATCATCCGATAGCTGAAAATTAAATAGTAACCAAAAGAATACGCATGAGAGACCATTGTCGTTTATATCCATTCTGATCTGGGTAAGCATCTCAAATAAACCAATAATGCTTTGGGAAAAAAGTAATTAATTAAATACTACAAAAGTTGTAATTGCAATTCAAAACCAACAACCACTAAACTACTGTCAGTTTAACTTATGGCATGTGGATATGTGTTGATCGATGGATGACTCATCTTAAATCTTTAATCTGCACATTAACACATGTAAATACTACTTTTTAAAAGGATCACAATGTAGAGTTAGATTTTGGTCAGTGGTATTTTAACCAAAGTGATTGAGATATTTCTATATAACAATAATATATAAGCAAAAAAAAGGTCTCTACTTTGACCTAAATTAAACTCTATATAAACCATACCGTCTTGTACACCTTCTCTTCACTTCACAATAAACAAACAAAAGAAATTTGTCATCATGGAGCTTAATAAAAATACAATCTTTCTAGTCCTACTTCTATCAATAACCATTCTCCAATCTTCATCTGCAACCCCAAACCGGTCGGAACCAGACCGGTTCATTGTGTCTTCATGCCAAACCACCCAATATCCATTAGTTTGCGTGCATACACTCTCTGCTTACGCCACCAAGATCCGCCACAACAACGACCAAGATCTCGCCCAAACCGCTCTCACCATCAGCTTAGCTCGAGCCAAATCCGTTTCTATCTTCGTCGCCAAACTAACCAAAGTGTACGCTTTTCTCTAACATTTTTTTTGTCAACCACACACTTATAACCAGAACAGTACTCTCTGTTTGCAGCCCAAACCGGAGTTTAAGAGTTTACAAAAGTTTATCCCTAACATTTTATTTCATTATATTCAGGACACCAAGATTAAAACGTAGAGAATATCTAGCAATCAAAGATTGCATCGAAGTGCTAGGCAATAGCGTGGACCGGTTAGCTCAATCGGTTAAAGAACTGGGTCGAGCTGGTCATGCCGTGGCTAGTGAGGACTTCATGTGGAAGATGAGTAACGTTCAAACATGGGTCAGTGCCGCTTTAACCGATGAGACAACGTGTCTAGATGGATTCTCGGAACGAGCCATGGGAGGCAAAGTGAAGAGGCTGATTCGGTTTAGGGTGGTTCACGTGGCTCAAGTCACTAGCAATGCTCTTGCTTTGGTTAATCAGTTTGCAGAGAAACGAAGTGCGAAGTTTCCTTAAATGGAGTTTTTGTTATCTTACTTAAATGTGAAAATTTTGGCTTGTGTGTGAAAGTTTGAATCTAAACTTTAAAGTTGTGTAAATTGTTATCCTTTTTTGTCGGTCGGAAAGAAAACTCAAGATTGTGTAACAATCTTTGTTATGTCCTGTATAATATTGTATTTTAAGATAAAGATATATACTGTAGTTGTACTTTTTTTTGGGTGTAAATTATACTTATAGATATACTTCATATATATTGGCATATTCTAACTTCAGCGTAAAGATATTATTGAACCGTATTGAATACAGTTTTGAGATTCAAACTAAGGTCTAATATTTTTCAATTTTATTTTGCTACGTGTAAACATTGGTAAAGGTGTAACTAAATGAGTCCACTCCTTCTGAACTTTTTTTTAGTATAAATATCAGAAATACACTAAATTTTTTATTTTGTTATGCAATTTTTGTTGTAATTCTAATTGTTAAGAAAGCTTCATACTACAATTTTTTTTTCTTTTTGTATAACAGAATAACGATTAAATTAAAACATCTTCCGTTTATATATTTGATTTTTTTTTTTTTTTTGATTTCGTGTAACAAAATAACGGGATAATAAAAACATATTTAGAGAAGAACGTTGGGAGACAAGATTTGTCCAGAGACAAAAGTCTTGATTTGTTTCTAGTGATTCATCAGGACAAAATTAGCGTATTTTTATGCATAATTATTGGAAAACAACCCTATTTTCATTAAATAATACTGAAACCAAATAATTATGATTTAAACCATATAAAAAATTAAGCCAATGATACACATCTTAACACTAACAGCTGTATAATTGACCACATGAACTGTAATATATGATGACACAGAGCTTAAATACTGTATTAATTCAAAACTAATTATATTTATGTCTTATACCGAAATATGCTTATAATTTTGTTCATGTGCTCGAAAATGACAAACGTCACCCCAAAAGGACAGGACAGGAGTTTCAACGACAACTACCAAATTTTGTGATATGAAAATTTAAATAAATCAAATACGAACTTTTGTTCCCGCAATTGACGGTTTAAAAACGCAAAATAAGACGAAGGCAAACACTATTTGACAGAAATTAAAGACGATCCTTATTTTAATGTCTTGAAAAAGACGTTACGCAATACGCATTTTCTTATGATATTAATTTTTTTTTTGTGATGAACGAAATAATTCTACATTTTTAGTTCCTCATCGTAATCAATTAATCATCTTAATCTAAAAATGCATTTAAATTTTAAATTCCTCACGTGGCTCAAGTCACTAGCAATGCTCTTTGCCAGGTCTCAAGTTTGGGCTGGGCCGTAATGGGCTATTTGTGTTGTTGAGACTTGTGACTTTAGATTGATTTTGTATTCATAATTTGTCTTTCCAGGATTTGTAATGCATAAAGTTAACAAAGATGATTTTTTTTGTTTTTTTTTGATAACCGCAGAGTTTCATATTCAAACGGAAGAATGGCTTTTTTAAAGTTGTAGTGATTTTATTTACTCTTTTTTTTTTTTTTGTCATCCAAAATTAATTAGAGCTCAAAAGAGCCATTCCTGAGGAATGTTGTTTACATATGTGATATGAAGCGGTTCTGTACGAACTTTTCGTGCCAGATTATCCGCTTTAGTATTAGCTCTACGAGAAATTAAAGATAAAGAGAAAGATGAAAACTCCTCCCTGTCGCTCTGAAATTCCTCCAAATACACTGAAAACGCCGGCCATTCGGTTGGAGAAGACACCATCTTCACCAGGTCTGAACAGTCTGTAAAGAAACGCTACCTCTTGATTATCTGCACCAATCATACACTTCATCGCCCAGAGAAGGGCCTCGACTTCGGCATGTAGTGGAGATAGACTTCTACGGAGGTTCGCAGCTCCCATGGTTGGCGGCTCTCCATTTGACGATGTACAGAACCACCCTGTACCGGAGAACTTATCACTTCCTTTCCATGATCCATCCACAAAACAACGGTATCCGGAATAATTCGATTCAAGTGAAACATCCCTCACTCGAATTCGATTTACCAAATCCACAGAACCATGATTTTCGTTATGGAGGTCAACTTGAGCTGATTGCCACAATTGTGCCTCTTTTTCCGCTAATCGTAATACCTCTATGGGGTCTGTATCTATGTTTTCAAAGATTTTTTCGTTCCTTGCTTTCCAAATATACCAAATAATCCATGGGAATGCTGATGAATCAAATTCCGAAGGTATTCTCCAGAATAAGTGATCCAAATTCGCAAAATTAGATTCCGTGGGAAAAATCCCCATAGCCGTAGGAATCTGTGAAAGCGCCCAAATCTGCCGTGACGGGTGGCACTGAAAGATTGTATGATTGATCGTTTCCTCTGGTGCGCCACATCTAGCACATCCCGTGTCACAATCAATTCCTCGTTTCCGCAAGTTTTCCGTAACCGGTACACAACCTGCTAAGATTTGCCATAAGAAATGGCGTATCTTAGGTGGACACTGCACTTTCCAAGAATGTGCTTTTAACGGATTGATATCAGGGCCAAAAAAATTTAAATTTGTCTCCAACTTTTCTAACCGTGTTGTATGATAGCCCGATTTGACTGTATATTGTCCGGATTTTGTAAAATGCCAACCCAAAGAATCTTCTTTTGTTGGCGCACCCACATGTATGGCGCTTATTTACTCAAAAATCATATTTTTAACTTGGAGATTGACGATAAAAACATACGAACGTGAATACTTAGTATAAAATATGAAAAGAAAACATGTTCTCTTTTCTCTTTTGAAAAAAAGAAAAAGGAGATTCTTCTTAGCTTTTGTTTCATTAAGATTGAGTATGTGATGGGCAAGTGCCGACAGAAGATATATCTAGAGATCATGTTAGAAAGCTAATGGAAAAAGGAAATCTAAAAGATAAAAAAAGATAGGAATGATACTCCAAACATGAGAGGAAGATGGCAAGTTTTGGGTTATTGGAATTATTTGATTCACAATTGATAATTCGATGTACGGTTTAGAATCTAATTCCTTAACGATCAAATTATAGTTCAAAAAAAAATTATAGTTCAAATACGAATACGTTTTATGAATGTTCTAAATTTCTCATAGGTATGTTTTACGGTGTTTAATTGATCCGATTTTTATTTTTAGAAATCTGTATGATAAATGCAGAATAATTTTTTTTCTAAGAATATAAACATTTCATTAAAATTAAGATTTATGCAAATATATTTCATTAAAAATATTTCAAGGCATTGATAAGAATTTAAGCTATATATAACTTGAGATATATCTCTAATCAATTTGGTTAAACCTATTACGGAAATGGATGTACATAATGCCAACTTAAGATATAATAAGACTAATATGTGATATAAGATTTCGTATACATTTTACCAATAGAAAAGTATGCATGCAACAGCGATAATGATGTTAACTTTTTGGCCATCGTAAATTACGTCTACGGAACATCTAATTCATTATGGAAACGAATGTAACAGATTAATTATCATGATTCATGAATATGACTCTGCACTTGTGATTCTAATTTGGCGTCTATACCATCAAGATCAGTTTTTAAGATCATGTCCAAGTAAATATGTTCATGCTTCTTGTATATTAGACTAGTTCTTTGATTCTTTCACAACACGTTACTTCGAAATGATCATTCTTTTGATTCATTCATCACGGATTGTATCTTATTTTCATTACAGATTAGTTATACTTGTTTGAGATTATTGGGATCTAATATGAATATCACGTGAGAAAATAATGACTTTTCGACCGAAAATCAATTAGTAATAAATATTCGATGCCCTCTTATATACTAATGTTGATTATTTTACATTTTTTATGTTAGATTTTATCATTAAACGAAGCTTTAAAAATTATAAAAAGAGATGCATGAATGAAATGTAGAAGTCGAATTAATCAAAACCTATACACGAGTATTGTAAAATCACCATGATTAGTTCAACATTTTCTAGACCCGGTTCAACATTATCGAATTTGAATGCCCTACTCAAAATTAAATTTTTCGTCATTATTTTTGAATATTATATACTTATAAACGAAAAGAACATGAGAAATCTAATAGTAACGACAAAGAAAAATGTTAATCATCAAAACCAAAAAAATAAGAAGCAAAATTTTGGATCCAAATCTTATCATTTTAATAATATTTTAAGTCAAAAAGCAAAAAAGAAAAGAACAAAAAACCCAAAAAATTTCTTACTTTCAATGACTGATAAAATTTAGTTTAAGTAGCTATATATCTGAAGTCACAATGTCAGTTCAAGACTTCAAGCTATCTTTTGGGTAGAGAGCAAAAAAAGTACATGCAAGTGAAGTAGTTCAAAGTAGGCAGATAAGGGCATGTATAGTTAAAGGCAAGCACATTAATATAAGATAGGCATTCAAATCACTATCTTCAAGATAGCGTATTTCAGAGACAAGAAGAGTGGCTCATGCATGCATATATTTACTTCGTTTAGACAAACAAGTCTAGTAGGCAAAACAATTGCTATAAGAAGCATGGGCTAGCAAATATGATCGTGAATGAGCAATGACTTCATTTGCTTATGCTATCGATGATAGATCAGGTCTGAAAATCAAAATTCTAATACAAAACGTCAACACTATGTACGTACATGTGAAAAATGATCACAAATTACATTTTTTGAAACCTTCATAAACAAATATCATCGACAACATTAAATCTTAGATATTTTTACAAAAAATAATCTATGGCACCTAGCCTCTTCATAAATGTCTTCGTAAGCCGAAAACTATTATGAAAATAAATAATTTACGCTATAAGAGTTCAATATATAGAACGTATATTTGTCTCCATGCTCGATCAGGACAGAAGAATTTCAATGGCCAATAATGATTTTCACATTTCAAAATTTCATAAACAAATATTATGACCAATATAGAAAATTTATAAAATGAAACATTATCGGGAATTATAGTCTAAATTTCTGTTTATAACCTTAGAACTATAAAGTTAGGTCTATACATCTCCGAATATATTTTTAGAATCTAGAGTCTTCATGATATATCATTAGAAGCGCTTAACTACGGTGGTCACTGTTTTATTTAATTTCAAAGATTTGATATATATATCGTCGACTGCTCTTTTTCTGTATCCACTCTGAATTTATTTTCTTTTGGAAGGATATAGCTTCAATAAAATGGGAATTATATCGCTGGACCAAACTGTAGTTGGACTAATTAATTCATCATATGCAACAGATTTAGAAAAATAAACTACATATATATATTCTTCAAGGTCAAGCTTCTGTTACAGTATTTATGGAGATCATATGTATTAATGTATAACTAATTATTACAACTAATAAAGATCATAATTATACAAAAAAAAAACTAATAAAGCCAGTAAAAATAGTTTTTTTTTTTGTCAACAGTAAAAATAGAACCAAGTGTTCTTGGTCTAGTGGTTGCCACTTGTGGAGGAGTTGCCCTGTTGGTCTAGGCCAGGGATCGATTCCCCGCAAGCGCGCAATTGCTAGATCTCCACTTGGCCACTGCGCAATTTACCTGCGGGGCGCAACGTCCCAGACCACCAGTTCCGGGGGGCCCTTAAGTGGAGGCTTAAAAATCCCAGGCACGCGGGCTTAGGCCCAGTGGGCTAGTCGGATCACTGTGTGGTCTGGACACTGGGTTATAAAAAAAAACAGTAAAAATAGTTTCATCACCTCAATTTGCTTCTTCTTTTTTTTTTTTGTTGAAACAAGAAGCAATGTCAAATTCTATTATACTAATAAAACTTTAAGTAGTTCATAACATTATACCTAAATTATTTTATATATAAAAAAATTATTTTCGTATCCACCCCATTGTATAGAAGAAAAGTTCCATTGCCAAAATTTCACGCAACTATTAATCAACTACATATAACATACAACACAAATACATGTATGAAAAATATTTCACTTAATAAATTTAATTTAAAAGCTATATATTTATATTTATATTCATTTTCATAGATTATTTATAATCAACAAACGATTTTTCCCATACTTTAGAAATATGGGAATCCATACTCTTTGGCTTTTAAGATAATTTTTTTTTTGTCGTTTATGAGTAAAATAAGATTTTTGAAGCATATGTGACAAATCCAGAATACGTTAAACATTTGAGCCGGATAATTGGTAAGTTTTCCCACCAAAAAACCTCAGCTTCAATCAAATAAGTTATTAGATATGATTGAGTTATTAATAGACTCAACCAATTTTCTTTTCACAAGTTTCTTTATACATATATTATTATATTATATTATATCACATGTTCTATATATACACACTATATACATACACGCACATGCACATTACTTTCACCTAGGCCATTCCTCTTTCAAAAAAATCGACGACCCAAAAAGGAAAGCACAAAACAAAAAGGGATGAAAATCTTATCTCAAACCCAAATCCTTCTTCTCTCTATAGCTATTCTTCTCTTCATCACATCGTCATCATCATCATTATCACCATCATCATCATCACCATCATTATCACCATCATCATCATCACCATCATCACCATCACCACCATCATTCTCACCATCATCGCCACCACTATCATCATTATCACCATCGTCACCACCACCACCATCATCATCCCCACTATCATCATTATCACCTTCATCACCACCACCATCATCATTATCACCATCATCATCAACATATTCAAATCAAACCAGCTTAGATTACATCAAAACATCATGTAACCTCACACTCTACAAAACCCTTTGCTACAACTCTCTATATCCTTACGCCTCAAAAGTCCATTCCAACCCTCACAAACTCGCCGTCACCGCCCTCAATCTCACCCTCTCCTCAGCCAAATCCGCCTCCAAATTCGTCAAAAACATATCTCACCGAGGCGGTCTAACACGTTTGGAAGCGGTTGCGGTTGCTGATTGCGTGGAAGAGATTGGAGACTCGGTGATATCGCTTCAAGATTCCATAAAAGAGTTGGATTCTATTAACTATAAAGATAGTGCAAAGTTTGAGATGGTTATGTCGGATGTTGAGACATGGGTTAGTGCTGCTCTCACGGATGATGAAACATGTATGGATGGTTTCAGTCGAGTCAAAACGGCCGTGAAAGATTTGGTTCGGCGACATGTTGTTGAGGTAGTTCGGCTGACTAGCAACGCGCTTGCTCTTATTAATATGTTCGCCTCCACGCAAGAAAACTTTTCATAATTAAATATTTGTTCATATACACAAAAAATGTTGAATACTTTTATTAGCTAATTAAAAAGCTTATGATTATATGTATGTATACATGTGTGTCACTTTATACTTGTTATAGGTATTGTTGATTTTTCTGTGTATATAATGTATGTGATATAATTTTTGAAGATGGTGAAAAAGTCTCAACACTTTGTTGGGCTCTTTCGGGATTGCTTTATGGCTAGAAAAGGCCCACAAATATTTTCTTGGTAAGATTCATTAGTGATACAATTAGAAATTTAGAATCATAACCATAGTCATAGTCTATCTTGTTAAGCAAAACCTAGTTATACTTGCACCTTTGTCTCCTTTTTTTCATTGTTTCTTCCGTCTGTTGTGAAATAGTTGTGTGTGTGTGTGTTTTTTTTTTTTGAATAACATTAATTTGAGCTTTATTAATTAGATTTTCGAGCTTATAAATATGGTTATGAGAGAGTAATTGGTCAATACATGTAGGAGGGAAATCATAAATGAAACACGAGCTATATTGGAATGTCCTAGACGTGCCACTTGAACACCCACAAACATATTGATCCATGTGTTATATCGCCAATCAAGTTTGCCATAGTTGTGTAATTCTTCCTTCAAGCTCTTTTAAGTTTGACAACTAGTTTTTTTTTTTTGTTTTGACAACTAGTTTTGATATATGAGAAATACAATTGAACACAACAACATTAACTAAAAATGTCGAACTCAAATACACAATCCAAAAACCAAACAATATTGAATCAATATGATATAAATAGATTTGACTTTTATTTCAATATCCGAAAAACCGAATTCGAATCCAATTAAAACCGAAAAAAAAAACTAAAACCAAAACTTCTTTGAAAATTAAAGATATATTTCACTAAAACCATAATATATTCAGTTTAACTTAAGATACTAAAAATCCAAAAAAAAAAAAAACAAAAAATGTAAACCAAAAATCCGGAGTTCCTTTTCCCCTACGGAGTGGCTCGTTGTAAAGCTCTTCCTTTCTTTTGTTTGGTAATGTGGTTGACGAGATGTTGTGGTTAAATGTTGGCTTAGTGTGGACTGCTTCTTAGTTCAGTTTCGGACATGTTCCCCTGTTTGTTTTAGGCTTGTTTTGCCTTGTTGTTTCCCTTACTTTCATGGCTCCGGATGAGTAGTTCATGCCGGCTTAGTTTCCCTTAAAACTCTAGGGCTTTAGTTTCCCGTATCACTCTCGGGCTTTGTTTTTCCCATATCACTCTTGGGCTTTGTTTCCGGTTTATCCGGCTTTGTATTCGACGTTGTAACATCTTTCGTATAATATAAAATCTTCCAGTGAAGAAAAAAAAATAGTAAACCAAAAATCCGGATTAAATACACCTATTCGCAATTTCGGATCCACTTGTTTACCAAAAACAGTTTAGACGGTGACGTGTCTCCTTATCCATTTGGACCAATAAAACCTTGAGAATTTTTATAGACCATATATAAAAAAAAAAAATTTAAAAACCGACGAGGAAATAAAATAACAATTAAATAAACCAACGGTTCAGAAACAAACCACGCCAAGCCCAAAAGGCTTCGTTATCCCCAAGCCATTCGCAGTGTGATACGTTAGCCGAAGAGTGACCAATTGATTCAATATCATCCTAAGAGGAAGAAGAAGAAGAAGAGAAGAAGAAAGAAGCGATTTTGATAAAAATGGCGGCGGATGCTCTGAGAATTTCGAGTTCTACTTCTGGTTCGTTGGTTTGTAATCTTAATGGTTCACAAAGACGACCTGTTCTTCTCCCTCTGTCTCATCGTGCCACCTTTCTGGGTCTTCCTCCTCGAGCTTCATCTTCTTCGATTTCTTCTTCAATTCCTCAGTTTCTGGGTACTTCTCGTATTGGGCTTGGTTCTTCGAAGCTCTCACACAAGAAGAAATTCTCAGTCTTCGCTGCAGCTGAAGGTCTCATTTCTCATCTCTTTCACAAAGCTTTCATCTTTTTCTTACTTTACTTGGATTTTGACATAAAAGCTTGAAATTTCCTACTTGCCTTCTAAGTGTTCGTCAAAATGCCTCTGAGAAGTGTTTTTACTCTGATTTTGCTAAAAATTTGAACTTTATGCTGGGTTGCTTCATTTTATGTGTTTTCTGCTGTTATATAGGAGAGGCGAAGCGTGCTGTACCGCTTAAAGATTACCGAAACATCGGTATTATGGCTCACATAGACGCGGGAAAAACTACAACAACTGAGAGGATTCTTTACTACACAGGAAGAAACTACAAAATCGGTGAAGTTCACGAAGGGACAGCTACAATGGATTGGATGGAACAAGAGCAAGAAAGAGGAATCACCATTACTTCAGCTGCAACCACAACGTTTTGGGACAAACACAGGATTAATATTATTGATACACCGGGTCACGTGGATTTCACTCTTGAAGTTGAACGTGCTCTTAGAGTTCTCGATGGAGCTATATGCTTGTTCGATAGTGTTGCTGGTGTCGAGCCTCAGTCCGAGACTGTGTGGAGACAAGCTGATAAATACGGTGTGCCTAGGATTTGCTTTGTTAACAAAATGGACAGGCTTGGAGCTAACTTTTTCAGGACTAGGGACATGATTGTGACCAATTTGGGTGCTAAGCCGTTGGTGCTTCAGATTCCAATTGGTGCTGAAGATGTCTTTAAAGGTGTTGTTGATCTTGTGAGGATGAAAGCTATAGTTTGGTCAGGAGAAGAGCTTGGTGCCAAGTTCAGTTACGAGGATATTCCAGAGGATCTTGAAGATTTGGCTCAAGAGTATCGGGCTGCGATGATGGAATTGATTGTTGATTTGGATGATGAGGTCATGGAGAACTATTTAGAAGGAGTTGAGCCTGACGAGGCCACGGTAAAGAGATTAGTTAGAAAAGGAACCATCACCGGCAAGTTTGTGCCTATTCTATGTGGTTCAGCCTTTAAGAATAAAGGTGTGCAGCCATTGCTTGATGCTGTGGTTGATTATCTGCCTTCGCCGGTTGAAGTCCCGCCGATGAACGGAACAGATCCTGAGAACCCGGAAGTTACCATTATACGGAAACCAGATGATGACGAGCCATTTGCTGGGTTAGCATTCAAGATCATGAGTGATCCTTTTGTGGGTTCTCTTACATTTGTGAGGGTTTACTCAGGGAAAATCTCGGCTGGTTCTTACGTGTTGAATGCTAACAAAGGAAAGAAGGAGAGAATCGGAAGACTATTGGAAATGCACGCAAATAGCAGAGAAGATGTTAAAGTGGCTTTGACAGGTGACATTATCGCTCTTGCGGGTCTCAAAGATACAATCACTGGTGAGACCCTGAGTGATCCAGAAAACCCTGTTGTTCTTGAACGAATGGACTTCCCTGATCCCGTCATCAAGGTAGCGATTGAGCCAAAAACGAAAGCAGACATTGATAAAATGGCGACAGGATTGATCAAGCTCGCTCAAGAAGACCCGTCTTTCCATTTTTCCCGTGATGAAGAGATGAACCAAACCGTCATTGAAGGAATGGGAGAACTTCATCTCGAGATTATCGTTGACAGACTTAAAAGAGAGTTCAAGGTAAAACATAACCTAAAAACTAATTCTCTACTTGAAGCTTCCAAGTTTCTAATTCCTTTTCATCTTTCAGGTGGAGGCTAACGTTGGTGCACCACAAGTCAACTACCGTGAGAGTATCTCCAAAATAGCGGAAGTGAAATACACACACAAGAAGCAATCAGGTGGACAAGGTCAGTTTGCTGATATTACAGTCCGGTTTGAGCCATTGGAAGCAGGATCAGGATACGAATTCAAGAGTGAGATTAAAGGAGGAGCTGTGCCAAGAGAGTATATTCCCGGTGTCATGAAAGGACTTGAGGAGTGTATGAGCTCCGGTGTGCTTGCTGGTTATCCGGTTGTTGATGTCCGTGCTTGTCTAGTTGACGGATCTTACCATGATGTGGACTCAAGTGTGCTAGCTTTCCAGCTTGCTGCAAGAGGAGCTTTCCGTGAAGGGATGAGGAAAGCGGGTCCGAGAATGCTTGAACCTATCATGAGAGTTGAAGTTGTTACACCAGAAGAACATCTTGGTGATGTCATTGGTGATCTTAACTCACGAAGAGGTCAAATTAACAGCTTCGGAGACAAACCCGGTGGTCTCAAGGTATGTTTTAATCAAAATGATCGGAAAAACCCCAAAATCATTGGATGAGAATTTGATTTTGACATCGTCGGTCTTATTGTTGTTGTAGGTGGTGGATTCTCTGGTTCCATTAGCAGAGATGTTTCAGTATGTGAGTACATTGAGAGGGATGACAAAAGGTCGAGCTTCTTACACAATGCAACTGGCTAAGTTCGATGTTGTTCCTCAGCATATTCAGAACAAACTTTCAGACAAAGATCAAGAAGTTGCTGCTTAGAACAGATTTTGTTTTGCCTACACTTAAAACTTTTTGTGATTTTGTTTGGTCTATTATATAGGCATGTAAGCTAATCAAATTTGTTATTGTCTTAAAACACATGGATATGAGAAAAAAAATCGATATATCAGAAAAGTCTGAAAAATGGGAAGAATTCGATCTTAGTGTTTGGAGTCATAAAAGAGTAATGAATCAGCAGAAATTGAAATCAATGTCTTCGCTTCTAGGTTTATTTCATCTGGACGATTCCTGAGCTGATAAGCTTTTGGATTTTGTTCATGATCATTGGGTTCTGCATGTGTTTTTGTGCTGCTGCTGGATTCTCCTGGAGATCAGACAGTACCTGTTCAAACAACAAGTGTTAGATTTTGGTGACATATCAACATAGAGAGATTTGTGAATTGTCTACAGAAGTTTGTTTCTTTACCTGTCTCATTACAGGATCTGTGAGAATGTTCTGGATTTCTGGGTCTTGCATTCCCTTAGCCTGTAATAAGAACGAAAGCAGAAACCCAAAAGTTTTAATTTAAGATCACGGGTATCTCTTAACCGAGTAACAAAGCAGTTTCATAATAATAATAGAATCTAACCTGTCTTTCTTTCAATTCCTCAGGAGTAAGGTCGCCACGGTTTGCCTTGTTTATCTGTTGTACACATCTGCAGAATAGGGTTTAAAACATGTTATATAAGCATATCGACATCACTAGATAACAGAAGCGAATAATCTCTCTATATAAAATACCTTCTAACACCATCAAGAAGTTCCTGGTTATTAGGATCATGCTTGAGACCCTTCTGGTACGTTTCCATTGCATTGTCATACTCCTTCATGAAGAATTGGACTGCACCTTTTCTGCTGTATCCCTTTGAGAATGTTGGATCGAGCTCGATACATTTTTCTGCATCTTTTAAACCTTCGGGCATTGCCCCCAGTTTAGTGTAACATGCAGCCCGGTTGCTATATGCCTATGTGAAGTGCAAAGAAGTAAACAAGTTATTAAAACAGTCAAATATGGAACTCTTTTTGTGTACAACATTGAAGCACATATGATGATGAATTAGCCTTACTCTCGGGTCTTTTGGATTCCTCTTGATCGCTTCAGTGTAATGTCTCACAGCATCAGGATACTTTTGCTCCTTGAAAAACTCATTACCTATGTTACAAAGATGTTAGTTCAACTACATTTACTGAGTTCTAAGAGATTCTTTCCTCACATAAACAAGAAACAAATTGCAAAGCAAGTACCTTTCTCACGCTCCTCATCGCCAATATTAGGATCATAATACTCTTGCTGCTCCAACTCTTTCTTTGCTTTCTCTGCCTCATTCAGTCTCTTCAACGTTTCAGGGTTACGATGCTCTGTAAGAGCTTTCTGGTAAGTCTCAATCACAGGTTCATAGTCTTTTGAGACTTTAGCCATCTTCCCCAAGGCAGTTCCTTTCCTAGTCAAAGCTTTAGCCACCATCTTGTAATCAGACCTAAGCTCTCTACCTCTTTCAACAGCCTTATCACAATCCTTGATGCACTCATCATACTAAATCAAAACACATACACATTTAGACTCATAACCTAGCCAAGCAAATCACTTTAACCTAACATAAAAAAAAAGAGAGCACTTTAAAAACCATACCTTTCCCATCTCCAGATGAACAGCAGCACGATTAGTGATGTAAGAGATATCTTCATCATCAATCTCCATAGCCGTAGAGTAATGCTGGATTGCAGTATCAAAATCCTTCTTCTTATACGCAGCATTCCCCAACTCTTTCTCCTTCTGAGCTTTAAGCTTCTTCTCCTTCCTCTCCTTCTCTTCTCCAAACTCCGGCTCAGGCTCAGGTTCTCGTGTCTTCTTCTCTACCTCAGGCTCCTTCCTCGAAGGCACAGCCATCTCTTCCTCACCAACCTCCATATCATCACCCGCCTGCTGAGTCCTGAATTGAACATTCAACAAAACTCCAAGAGCTTGCATAACTCTCTGATCTTTCAAATAAAGATTGAGATTACTAGGATTCCTCTGAATCTCCTTCATCATATTAACAAAATCAGGCTGTTTCAAAAACCCTCTAGTAGAAGGATCCGCCGTCAATTTCGTCCACATCTCCGGTCCCTGAAAAGCATCACCAAACGGATTCGGCGCAGCGGCGCGTGACCTAGAAGCAGAAGCTTTCGCATCAGCTAAACCCGATTTCAAACCTTCATTACTTGGATCAATCTCAAGCCCTTTAGAATACGCATCCACGGCTTCATCGAACTGATTTAGACCTAAGTGAGCAGCACCAAGACGGCTATAACCTTTTCCCCAATCTGGTTTAAGTTCAACAGTCTTCTTCGCGTCTGAGAGAGCTTCTTCGTAGTGATGAAGCGACGCGTGAGCAGCGGAACGGTTAGAGAAGAGAACGTGATTGGTTGGGGATAGGTTGATTGCGTCGGTGAAGTGATTAACGGCGGAATTGAAGTCACCGGAGGAGAAAGCTGCGTTTCCTTTAGCTTTTGCTTCGTCCGCCATAGTTGAATCTGAGAATTTTGCAGTCTTCTGGTTTCTTCTGGAAGATACCTTGAGGGATTATTGGGGTTTTGGCTTTAGGGAAATAAATACGAGTGTATATATATCATTGTTCGATATAGTGTGTTTGGTTACGGTTATTACTATCCTAATCACGTTTATTCATTAAACAGTTCTTATATCAAAACGACGTCGTGTTACTTAAACCGACTTAGTATTAAAACGACGCCGTGTCACTTTGTATCGGAAAACGACGGCGTATAATAACAGTGGTTTAGATTAGACGACGTCGTGTTTCTCTACATTGACCCAACGCTTCTTCTCCGGCACGATTGTTCAGAGTTCGATTTCCATTTTCGGGTCGAACTCGAAAGATCGAGTTTTTGGATTTTGGATGATAGATTCAGCGCCTAAAAATCTTCTGATATGGAAACTTAAATCCCAGAGTTCCTCGCGTTTGGGTAAGTTTTTTTTTTGGCTCATTTCGTTATCTCAGAGTTCCAGCGATTTTATATTTACTCATTGGAAAGTTTCTGTGAATTTTAGTGATCTCGGTTGTTATTCATGTTTGGTTCTTGGGTTTCTGATTCTGTGTTAAGCAATGTTGAAAAATTCTTATTTTGTTTGTTAAATACTAATGTCAGTGCTTTGTCCACCAAGTGTTTGTGTTAATTCCTGAATGAGTTTATCAGTTCACAAAATCTCTGAATTAGTGAGACTTATTTTGTTTATTCATTTGAAGTCGTAATAATTAGAGGATAGAAGAAACCAGAGGTTTTCATTGTTTATATGAGATGATCTTGTTTGTTGTTTATATGGTTGTAGGAGAAGAGAAAGAATCATATTTGGAGCTAATCTGATGAATGGAGGAGGCTCTAGTTTGCGTTCAGCATTGTCCTATTGTGTACAACAAGTACGAAACTATGACTATCATCACTACCTCTGTCTCCTTGAACTCCCAACTGAGATGCGTAAAGCCGCATTTGCTCTCCGGGCTTTCAATGTAGAAACCGCTAGAGCCATGGATGTTGCATCTGATCCCAAGATTGGCTTGATGCGGCTACTTTGGTGGCAAGAAGCAATTGACAAACTCTACACCAAAAAACCCATTAACCATCCAGCTGCACAAGCTCTGTCTTGGGCAATATCAGAGCATAACATCAGTAAACCTTGGCTAAAGCGCTCAGTTGAAGCTAGAATCCGAGATGCGCAAAGAGAAGTAGACGATATACCAGAGAGTATCGAGGAGCTAGAGAAATACGCAGAAGACACAGTTTCCACTCTTCTGTACAATACACTCCAAGCTGGCGGAATTAGTTCAACAACAGCGGATCACGCAGCTTCACACATTGGTAAAGCCAGTGGTCTTGTCTTGCTACTGAAATCATTACCGTACCACTGTACCAGAAACCGTCACCAGAGTTACATCCCTGCAGATCTCGCTGAGAAGCACGGGTTGCTCGTGAAACAAGGCGGACGATTAGAAATTCTTCTGGATAACAATTCAAGAGAAGGACTAAGTAATGTCGTGTTTGAGATTGCATCTGTTGCCAATGCACATCTCCTGAAAGCCCGTGAACTGGCGGGAAAGGTTCCTGCTGAAGCTAAACCCGTTCTGCTTCATTCTGTACCGGTACAAGTTCTTCTGGATTCGTTAAATAAAGTACAATTCGATGTGTTTGATCCCAGGATTCAAAGAGGAGTTCTTGGTGTTCCTCCACTCTTGTTTCAGTTTAAACTCAAGTGGTATTCATGGAGAGCTATGTTCTGAAAAACTTGCGTCTTTTTCTCGGCTTTCTTGCCTTTATTCTGGTTTCAGAGACATTACATTAAAATTTCAGTTTCTTTGTATTTTTCCTTGTAATAAATAAAAATTTACAAATGGTGATGGTTACATAATATGAGAATTTGTCTCCTTTTACTTACAAATAATACACAGTTTCATATGTTATAACGGAAGAAGCCCATCTTCTTGCATTTTTCTGTACAACAAATCTGCTTTATCCCATTGGCGTTTCCTACAAAAGCCTGAGATCATCGTAGTGTAGGACACAACATCAGGCTCAAGTCCTTTGGAGGAAAGGCTACAAAACAAGTCCCATGCATCTTCGACATTACCAATCTTGCATATCCCGTGAATGACGATATTATATGTCGTAATATCAAGCTCCATTTCACTCTTTTGCATATTCTTGAATAGCACCAGTGCTTTCTCTACCCTCCAGTTATTACAAAGCCCATATAACAAAATGCTGTAGGTCCTAATATTGGAACGAGAACCCATCCGACTGAAAATTTCTTGCGCGGCATCTGGTCTACCCGCTTGAAAATAGCCCTGGATAATAGTGTTTAAAGTGACTGTGTCGACAACTAATCCTCTTTGAGACATCTCGCGGAAGAGTTTCGTTCCTTCATCTACTCTCTTGGTCTTGCAAAACCCGTTAATGAGAGTATTATAAGTCACAAGATCGGGGAAACAACCCTTTGTTACCATCAAATCAAGAATTTGTTTGGCCTGATCTACCTGACCGTGCATACAAAGACCATGGATCATCGAATTGTAAGTGAAAACATCCGGATCTATACACCTTTGAATCATCTCCTCGTAAAACTTCTTCGCCTCCACAAATTTCCCTTCTCTCACAAACGCATTGATCAACGCAGTGAAAGTAATTACATTAGGGACAATATCCCTCATTATCATATCTCTCATAAGCCGAGCAGCATCACTCCTTCTACCAGAACAACAAAGACTGGTCACAAGAGAGTTATAAGTAACAGTGTCCGCTCTAACCCCATCTCTTTCCATCCGCTCGAACAACACCAACGCGTTATTCACCAATCCGGTTTTACAAAACCCGTCGATGATCGTGTTGTAGATAACAACATCTAGTTTACATCCCATTTCCTCCATTTTACTAACCAAATCTATAGCATCAAAAACTCTATTCCCTTGACAAAACCCATTAATCAAAGAACTAAACGTGACAACATCGGGCTCGTAACCAAACTTCATCATCTTCCCAACAACAGATAAAGCAATAACAAATCGAGAACATCGACACAAACAATTAATCACAATGTTGTAAGTATAAAGATCATGCCCAATTCCACAAATCTCCATATTGTGAAACAGAGAGATCACAAGATCGTAATTCTTCGATTTGGCGATATTACTCAACAATTTACTGAATTCAACAATTGAAGGAAGAGGACGAGATTGAATCATGTTACAGAACAAATCAATTGCTTCGTCTAAATTCATACCACGATCCCTAATTCTACTCAATCTCTTAGTAGTAAAAGCTCTTCCCCAGAAACGGCTAATGAAAGGAGCAGTTACAAGATTACCTTTCTCCAGAAGACAAAGATTCAGAAATTTCTTTCCTTTTGATGCAATTGAGATCGTGATCGATCTCTGCATTTGATTTGATTAAGCTCGTTTTGTTCGTAATCTCTGTATCTGTAAAAACCCTAGCTTAAACCCTCTTATCTCCATGGGAGAGAGAGGAGACGACAATGAGAGCGAGATATGAAGACCGGTTCAGTTCCGGTTTAAGTTTTTTAATCAAACCGGATTTAATGAGATTTGATTCTAATTTCTTTGGTTGAATTAGTGCCGTTGTAACGGTGAAAATAGCCATCGTTGTGGGTCCATTAAGTGTACACGTGTTCCGACTATAATTTGCATGTTCTATGTTGTGTCGCGAGCTGACCCATTCGTTGATTTTTGTGAGATCAGCAGATGTAATATTCCAAAATATTCCATCGTCGACATCAATTACAATCATTTTAATTCGTATTTTGATCATTGTTTAAGAAAATCTTACTTAGTTTAGAGGAAACATTACAAAAATTTAATTAACGCGTTAAAATTACGTCGGTATAAGAATGGCAAAATTATACTATTTTTAAAAAAACATAGGAGCTTATAAAATTAAATTTATCACGCATAAGCCCTTTCCGACCAAAAAATCTTATACTGACTTTAATTAAGTGCTTTATTTTAAATAATCGGGTGGCATTAAATATGATTAGAAAATTGATTTGTTAATTACATTTTCTTGAAAATATATAAATCATTAACACCATTTAGCTCTATAAGACTATAACTATCCTTTGCTTTTATAGTTCTCTTTAGTCTCTCAAAAAGCCTCTCTTTCTCTCTGTGCCTACCATGGCTAAGTCTTGCTATTTCAGACCAGCTCTTCTTCTTCTACTACTTCTCTTGGTTCGGGCAGAGTCACGAGGTCAGTTCGATCCAAAGATTCTTTTGCCGACAGAGAAAACTAAACCGACAGCTGACCAAGACGAAGATGGTATCGGTACAAGATGGGCGGTTCTCGTCGCCGGTTCTTCTGGATATGGAAACTACAGACACCAGGTACACACATATTACATATACACACATATACATACACATCTTTTATCTTTATAATCTTATATCTTCTCAGATATTTTAGTGCCCAACGAATTGATTCTATTATTCGTAATTTAAATTAAAATACTTCCTTGATGCAATTATTTTGCCTTGAGATTCTTTTGGCCTTGAGAATATTTGTGTGACATGCAAAAATTTATTTAAATTATTTTTATATTATAATCTTTTTCAAAAGAATAAAATATGCTACATATAATCCTATATTCCTAATTTCCTATATATGGCGAATTTCTCTATTTCTCAATCTAGTTGTCATTTAAGAAAAAAGTTCTAAGTTTTTTTAAAAAAATTAATATCTATAAAAAGTGTTTTGTTGCTTTGTGTTAAAGGCTGACGTGTGTCACGCATATCAAATTCTAAGAAAAGGAGGTTTAAAGGAAGAGAACATAGTAGTTTTGATGTATGATGATATCGCAAACCACCCACTTAATCCTCGTCCGGGTACTATCATCAATCATCCTGACGGCGACGATGTTTACGCCGGAGTCCCTAAGGTATATATTATGTATTTAGCCTTCCTCTTAATTATGCATGAATTAATTAACCCTCGATCCGACCAATAAGTCTGTATCTTGAGGTTTGGAATCTTCTCTTAAGTAATATCGACTTATCGATGGTCTAGATGTGACCTATGTTTTGGTCCAACTAGCATCTAACCAGGTTTTAGAGCTTTATTTTTTTATATAACGAGAATTGTTTTCTTCTAGAATCTTATTTTAAACTATACTTTCTTCTTTGTATATGGCGCTTAGGTTGTTAATTTATTAAAAATATATTATGGGATCTATCGTGGAAGAGATGGTGACTTAGGCACTACACAACAATTATAGTGATAGCGACTCTAGAGATATTTGCTATGGTAAACCAAACTTAATGTGTGGACCTTTGATTGGTATCGCTCCTAGATTTTTTATAGCCACTAGTTGTTTTCCCTTTTTAATAGTTTGTTCGGATATTTACTTTTTGAAATATCTTTTTCAGGACTATACCGGTAGTAACGTTACGGCTGCGAACTTCTATGCGGTGCTTCTAGGCGACCAGAAGGCTGTTAAAGGTGGAAGTGGTAAGGTCATCGCTAGCAAGCCTAACGATCACATTTTCGTATATTATGCAGATCATGGTGGTCCCGGAGTTCTTGGTAATTTCATCAATCCTTTGTGTTGTTTCCGATTAGATAACTTCTTCTAGTGTAATATTTATAATCGATTGCTTATAATGGTTTAATATATTTTTTTCCATTGGTCAGGGATGCCAAACACGCCTCACATATATGCGACTGATTTTATTAAAACACTTAAGAAGAAGCATGCTTCCGGAACATACAAAGAGATGGTAAAATTTAGTTTAACAGTTTAATTGGTTGAGTGTTTAATTTGTTTTGTTAATGTTACTATTAGTATACTTGTGTAATTGTGATAATGTAATGCAGGTTATATACGTAGAAGCGTGTGAAAGCGGGAGTATTTTCGAAGGGATAATGCCAAAGGACTTGAAGATTTACGTAACAACGGCTTCAAATGCGCAAGAGAGTAGTTACGGAACATATTGTCCCGGCATGAATCCGTCACCCCCATCTGAATATATCACTTGCTTAGGGGATTTATATAGTGTTGCTTGGATGGAAGATAGGTACATATTTATATAATTATGTTCTTTAATGTGTATATGCATCGGTTTATTTTGTGTGATCGATCTATTTGCAGTGAGACTCACAATTTAAAGAAAGAGACCATAAAGCAACAATACCAAACGGTACTGTGAAATTTATTTTACGTTAGTTGATGGTTGGTTTGAGAATGTGAAATATATATCGGATCTTTTATTCCGGTGAGTAGGTGAAGATGCGGACATCAAACTACAATACCTATTCAGGTGGCTCTCATGTGATGGAATACGGTAACAATAGTATTAAGTCGGAGAAGCTTTATCTATACCAAGGGTTTGATCCAGCCACCGTTAATCTCCCTCTAAATGAATTACCGATCAAGTCACAAGTGGGAGTCGTTAACCAACGCGACGCGGACCTTCTATTCCTTTGGCACATGGTAGTGAACTACACTGTTTTGTTTATTAACTTGTGATTTTTGGTTATCTAAATTGACTACAAAGTTTCAGTTTAATTAAACCATATTGGCTTTGGTTTTACAGTATCGGACATCGGAAGATGGGTCAAGGAAGAAGGATGACACATTGAAGGAATTAACTGAGACAACGAGGCATAGGAAGCATTTAGATGCAAGCGTCGAATTGATAGGCACAATTTTGTTTGGTCCGACAATGAATGTTCTTAACTCGGTTAGAGAACCCGGTTTGCCTTTGGTCGACGATTGGGAATGTCTTAAATCGATGGTAAAAATTTCGCAATCCTTAAATCTCACTCCTATTCAATTTTAATCACATTAAGTTAAAAGGGTTGGATATAATGTTATTGAAATTTCTTAGGTACGCGTATTTGAAACACATTGTGGATCACTAACGCAATACGGGATGAAACATATGCGAGCGTTTGCAAATGTTTGTAACAACGGTGTCTCGAAAGAGCTGCTGGAGGAAGCTTCCGCTTCAGCGTGCGGTGGTTATAATGAGGCTCGCTACACGTTGCATCCATCAATCGTAGGGTATAGCGCCTGATGAGAGATTTTGAGGCTTTTCTGATTTTCAAGTGGTTCGAGTTATAACGTTAAGATGGTTTAAAAATAAAAGAAATGTTTAGTATGTAATTACGTACGTAGCAATAAGGTCATCAAACTTTTTAATAAAGCTTTGTTAAATATTGTTACCATTTTATTTACGTCTAAAATCTATAATGATCAGCTAACTAGATCTGTCAGCATCAGACTTATTAGTGCTACAATCTCGCTCTCAAGTCTCAATTATGTTTTCTACAAAACGTATTGATACGAATACGACACGAACGACGAAATGTTCAGCAATGTCTCACAGTAAATTCGCTGATAAGGACAGTTCTCCAAATTGTTTTGTCTATATATTGATTAGATTTCATCTTAACGATCTCAAGTCGTCAATCTGTCATAGTAATATGTTTTAGTCCGTAGAAAATGCTATGGTCTCTGATCTGAGTGGATGTATAGGCATAGGCTCAAAACTTCTTAATTATTTTAAAAAAGAATGAGTAACATTATATATATACAGTTACATAGTTTCACTATCCAAAGATGATTTATTGATTGATTAAATTGTGAAAGACCCTGTTGGATGAAATATTTTACCAAATCATCTGCCATTTCACTTTCACAGCCTCCGGGTTTCATATGAAGCGGTTTTCCAATGCACTCTTCTTCCTTCAATTTCCAGCCTTTTGGTAAACGCAAGCCTTTTGGCCCATAAAGAAGAATTTAGGACTAGTTTTTTTTTCCCCTTGGAAGTATAAGCAGCATATATAAATGGGCCGTTGTTGTTAACTGCATTTTTTAAAATATATAAATTAAACTAGAGTCGTACATATTGTGTTTAACAAAAGAAAAACAAGGAATAATGCACGATGAAACATTTTTCTTAAGAGTAGATAAATCTACAGATTTATCACTATTACCATTAAGTACCAGATAATGGTTCCAAATTCTACAATTACCCTAAATTTATCTTTCAATATTCTTTATCTTATAATTACTGCCATCATTGATATCATTGATCCGAAGAAGACATACAAACCAATATGCAATCATTATCCTCTATTTTAAATATACAATTTCACTTTAATTATACTTAAATCGTAGGTATATGAAATATTAAAAAAATTCCTGAATCTGTAAATATTTGTCATCACGCCTTGAGCTGCCCAACAGTGAAATGATGAAGGTTGGTGTGCATATGTTTTTCTTTGTGCGCTTGATAGTTGACTTAATAGTCAACGAGTCAGCTTAAGCAAAAGTAATCATAATAGAACGTGTCATTTTGTAATTAAGTATAATCAAATTAACAAGTTTGATTTGTTGCAAAATTTAACCAATTAATATCCTATATATGTTTTTTTTAAAGCTTTTAGACACTTATCAATATGTCATTGGGTCTACCTTTACGTGTTACTTTGAGAAAGTTGGTGATACATGAAATTATAATCTGTATTATTTGCTGAACGTGTTGAGCTACTATTCGATAATAAACCGTAATTTTTTTGTGTTCTGTCATTCATGAAATAATTGAAAGTTGGTATATATATAGTACCATTAAATTTACAGCCCTGCAATAATTTGTTTTTTTTTTTTGTTTTTTGTTTTTTTTTAAGTATCATAATAACGATAATGAGCTTTCTAATTAGCATGAATGTGAACTATAATATGTCATCGTATTCATATAGACCAAACATTAAGGGATTCTCTATGGTGACACAAATCCATATTCGACAAAACAGTAATAGAGTATACTAATCTAAAAACGCCTCGAGTATTGTCGAATATGGATTTGAATTTGATAGTCTACCATTATGCTTGTCAAGTGCTTTTTCATGGTAAAACTAAGCTATTGTCACGATAAAAGGAAATATATAACTCAAAACTCAAAAACTAGCGGTTTAAAAAATAAATTTGTATTATCCGTGGACAATTCAAATCGACTTTTTCTGTCTGTTTATAAAATTAATCTACTATGTTGAATTTTCAAAACCCTAACAAATATTTAACTCATTAATTTATAATATAGACTGGTCAAAATTATCATTAGAAAATTTATTCTGGGTGGTATAAATTTACAAAATGAACTATATATATAACTAAGCTCATATCAAGCATGATGGAATGTGGTTTCCAACTTTTCGAACGTAATAAGTTAAGTTCTCCTCAAAAAAAAAAAAAAAAAAAAAAAAAAAAAAAAAAAAAAAAAAAAAAAGAAAAAAAGTTAAGTTCTCCTCGGACAAGAAACTGACAAGAGAAACAAACTTCTCCACGTGGTTTAATTTCTAGGGCTTTTTGTAATGATTAGTGTTAAGAGACTGCTAACTTTGAAGAACTCTGTCGTTTTCTTTTTCGTTTTTTTTTCTTTCTTTTTGGACGAAATGAAGAACTATATCTTGTTTACACGATGGACCAATTATCAGTGTTTTAAAAATTTGATGCATAGCCGACGAATATGTACAAGAAGATTAAGATTCATGTTATTCATTAGACCTTAATTACTTAATGGTGCATCGAATAATGTAAATATTTAAGATATACTAGTTGGTATTCAGAATTTAATTATATATAGGTGAAATTACCAAACTTCTGCCACCTTTGTCATGCGTATGTAGAATAGTATAATTGGTTGTCTAGTCCATTTTATACATTGTATTACAAAATTATTAACTCTATATATTTTAGTCTTTAAAAAAACATATGTAATTGGGCATGACTCAACAAGTGTGGCCCTCTTCATGGTACAAAAGTTTCCTTTAGATATATCTGGAAATTCTTCTTCTAGAATACAAACCTCTAAATAATAACATTGTGTGTGCATATTAAACTATAAATCTGTGTATGTATTATACTATCTATTTCATAATGGTAACGTGCAATTTCAGCAGAATCTATATGAGAAGATTTTTGACATTTTCTTTTACCAAAATGGCAATAATGCATAATTATAAATTTTAAGTGGAAGAGAAAATGGGAAGAATAAAATTAATATATCTGAGAAAATTATCTGTGATGTTATTCATTTATGAATTTTAATAGAGTATACATAATTGCAAACACAATACGTTGTTACTCAATCTGTCATTCTAAATTATGCATGGTGTTATAGAATCTGATAATTGAAATTGAAAAGCATGGTTTAGTTTAGTTACGGGTTTGCCACCATACTTTTGTTTTGCCAATTTTAACTAAGCATTTGGTTATTTACCAAATAAGCGACTACTTTTAAATAAAACATAAGAAAGTCTTGTTGTTCTAAAGTTTTTCTATGTTCCACTTACGGTAAGTGGCCAATAGGGACTCACCAAAACTTATACATATGTTTAGCTTTTCACAAAATGAACATAAATTTGTCATAGCAAACTTTACTACCAATTGTATTCATTTCCGTTGTAATAATAGACTACTCTAACATTTTATCAGCATAAAGATAAATTATAGTAAGACATATATAGTGGTCTGTGGCCAATTGTTTATATAAATTTATATCAAAATATAAGCTCCAATTCATGTATACAATATTGATTATATACACAGTCAAACAATTTTTAATCGAGATGTCATATAGGAATCGGCAAGAGGCAAGGTGGGACAAAAAAAAAGACAATTTTTTTTTCCTTTAACAAGAAAAAAAATGACACTTTTTAGGATCACGCACTTTACTTTTGCTTTACTTCTATACTTCGTTTCAACAACACGAAATAAAGAAATAGATAAAAATCTCAATGCCCATTTTCCAAATTTTATTAATAAATTTCGCTGAAAACAAACTTTGTCCTAAAGTCCCAATATAGATGAACTTACCTAAAGTTGTACTATAGTATATAGGCTAAATATAACGTAACTTACCTAATTTAGATCTAAAAATATTATTTTGGTAATTAGTTACTAAAATATTTATCCAGTGAGAAGAGTGTTGAAGTTAAAGTTTAACTGTCAACCAATTCTCTAGAGAATTAGGTAGTATAGAAAGCAACCAAAATCAGTTTCCTACTTTCCTTTATGAACTTTGAAATGTTTCTCAAAATCCAATAGTATATGATTAACCATGCAAATTACTTTTATAAGCTAATGACATCCAATCGTAACAAGAAATCAATATACAGTAATTAAAAACATTAGCACTTCGTTAAGCAATGTGTTTTGCAAGTATAGACAAAAAAATGTAGGATTAAAAAAAAAACTAATAGAGGACATTTGACATGGCATTCAAACTATGGTCATGGAAACGGAAGTTGTTGTTTTTTTTTTTTATAACAGACACATGTATGTTCTTATTAAATAGAAGCAAATTAATATTACTACCACTGACTCTTTTTTTTTTACTTCTAATATTAATGATTAAAACTTTCGAAAATGTGTGTTGTTATATTCAGAAGTTTCACAAATAAGAACGGGATAACGGGATGGGACCAACATGACCGAACAGAAAATTGTGAGATTAATGATCGAAGCCTATCTCACGCCGGACCATCAGCCGCCACGTCATCACATTCCAATTGTTGGCGGGCCCTTAATTCCACTAATACTGGCTCAAATTCCACATCTGATTTTTTCATCTATATAAAATATTTTTGAAATAATTTGGCTAAACTTCTGTTCAGAAAATTAGATACTTTTCTTTGGCTTCATAAGATAAAAATAAGGATATATATTAATAAGGATATATATTAATCTCACTGCTTCCATTAGTTAGACAAACTAACAATTATATACGCAATGGGTTATGTTATTGGACACTACCATAGTACCACTGGTTCACAATACCATGAAATTGAGAATAATTAAATGTAAGAATTGTTATACTGGAGGAAAAAATTGATATGTGGAATTTCTTATAACTGGAGGGTAAGTCTCATGCAAAGTAAAAAGAACATACGAAAGTCTCAATGTAATTATGCGATGTTTCTCGAGGATTCTTAGACATTCATGTTAACATTTACTACGAATTTGGACCGTAGAACATGACCGAGTTAAGTCTTATAGAATATAGAACATATATGAGATTACTTTTGAAGACGCCAAGGGATGAAAATGTTCAAAGAGAATATGTGCCCTATATACACATATATATATACATCTACGTACTTTGCAAGTATATACTGTATATTTAACGGGTTAGTCTTCAAGAAGATACACGCACTTTGACAATAATTAAGGGATTATATGAATACAATACATATATATATATATATATATATATATATATATAGAGCACATTAAATATCTTTTTGCAAGTATATACTGTATATTTAACGGGTTAGTCTTCAAGAAGATACACGCACTTTGACAATAATTAAGGGATTATATGAATACAATACATATATATATATATGTGTGTGTGTGTGTTACATATATATATATATATATATATGTAGTATGTAACACATACATATTCTTAAAGAGACTTTTGATTTTAACTAAAAAATGATTTTTGAAGTCTTTCGAACCTTTTCTTTGAATTCCACAAATACCAAAGTTAGAAAATCTCATCAGTTCAACTATACACTAGTCACTGGTAAACAAAAACTATAGTAACCAATCTAACCTCATTTATTCATGATCACTCTCTCATGTGTTGTTAACATGTACAATTCTATTTAATTTTAAGAAAATCCTAACTTAAAAAAACAAAAAAATTCTGACTAGCTGCATCGGAAATCACACCAAAATTTGTTGTGTTTATAAAAAGGGATTAATGTTCAATCGTTCATAAAAAGATTTTTTTTTTCTTTTAACTTTGGACCGTCTCCATCAAGGGCTGGTAGGTGGTAATGGAGGTTGCCGCTCTCTTTCTCTATCAAAATCTTGCTTGAATATCAAAACCTTATTCGCCTCTCTTTTCTCCCGAAGCTTTTACAACAAATAAAGTCTCTCTCTCTCTCACTCGGTTTCATAAAGGACATAGAGAGACTATGATTGAGAAGGACAGGGACAGAGAGAGAGACAAAGTAGTATAGATTATTAGGACACGGTTGTCTACTTTTTCTTGTGTCGTCTCTCTCTCTTTCATATTCTTCTTCATCATCATCATCGTCTGATGATCTTCTTTATTTAACCCTACTCTCTTTCCTTTCTCCCATCCTCTCTCTTAATATCTCTGACTCTTGGGATCTGATCTCTTTCCGGTGGTTATTCCCGATGATAACTTTCAAATCTTTTCCATTTGCATAACATCTCCTTTTAGGGTTCTCTCTCTCTCTAGCTCTGAGTACTTTATAGTGTATTTCATGAAGTGTTGGATTTTTCCAAGTACAAGAGGAAGATTCAATAGAATCTAGCTAGTCATATACAATAACACAAATCCTGAGGTTTTTGAAGGGGTTGAGTTGCATCAGCCTGTTTTAGAGTTTTTTGAGGTATATACCCTAACTTCCTTTTGAATATTCTACTCCATCTTTAATCCAATATTTTCTCTATGTTTTTGGGTATTTTTATCGTCAGATATTTCCACAGATATTTACCATTTTGTTTTCTTGATAATTGTTTAATTTTTTTTAATTATTAGCATAATTATAGTGATCATGATCATCGTCCTCTCTCATCCTACTCAATGTTGCTGATGGTACAAGCTAAGCAAAATATCATCCTTAAGAGACTCGATCGTGGGCTAGGTTTTTCCTTAAGATTTTGCTTTTCGATTGGTGATTTAACTTATAGAATGATTCTCTTATAGAATGATCATCCTATATATAGATATAAATTTCTCATTCTTTGACTTTATTTACTGATCATACTTAAAATGCAATTATCAGTTAAATTTAATTTATATACTGGTGATCAGTAAATGGGAAATCAAGGTTAATTGGAAACTAGTAGTGATATTATTTTATGTATTCCATCTTCAAGCGTCCTTTGAATCTAAACCCATTTAATGGGCTTAATCAAGTGATTTTCATTTTTCTAAAGATGTACAGATATGTTTCTTCTTCCCCCAAAATACTACACACATGAATGTCTTAAATGATGTATAAGTCGGAAAGATTTTATCAAAAAAAAACAAAAAAAAAAAAAGTCGGAAAGATAACCCTAATTAGTTTCAGGCTAAGTTAAATGAAACGATCATATATAAATTTTCGTTAATGAGCAAATATTTTTTTTTTAGTTGGTAAATGAAGTGAGTTCGTATAACATTTAATTACTTTCATGATCCATAACTTAACAGTCGTTGTTCATATCATAAACAGGCTAATCTCAATACGTACGGAGAAATAAAGAATGAATTCGTTTTCACAAGTACCTCCTGGCTTCAGATTTCATCCTACTGATGAAGAACTTGTTGACTACTACTTGAGGAAAAAAGTAGCATCGAAGAGAATAGAAATCGATTTCATCAAGGACGTTGATCTTTACAAGATTGAGCCATGGGATCTTCAAGGTTTGGCCAGAATATGCTATCAACTCTCTTTAGTGATGTTCCTTGTTTTGATATAAATTAAGGCTTACGATTATTTTTTATATTTTTCTTGTGATAATTTAGAGTTATGCAAGATAGGAAACGAAGAGCAAAGCGAATGGTACTTCTTTAGCCATAAAGACAAGAAGTATCCCACAGGAACTCGAACCAATAGAGCGACGAAAGCAGGATTCTGGAAAGCCACCGGAAGAGACAAGGCTATATATATAAGACATAGTCTTATTGGTATGAGGAAAACACTTGTGTTTTACAAAGGAAGAGCCCCAAATGGACAGAAATCCGATTGGATCATGCACGAATATCGCTTAGAAACAAATGAAAATGGAACCCCTCAGGTATATACATTGATCCAAGCTAAAACATCTTAACCCATACTCTATTTACATAAGGAATTAAGCTTCCATGTGTATATAATCTTTTTAAGTATGTCTCTTAAAATACATTGGAGTAGTTCACATTAAGACACATATCTTCTATGTCCAATATATCCAAATGTGCATTGTTCAACTCACTAAAAACTTTCATAAACATATATTTCATAGCTTGACTGTTACTAAAAATTTACTAAACTTGTCACCATATCCAAATTCTAATTTCATTGGTCACTAAACTTTCTACTTATACAAGGAAAAAACATACACATATACGATGGACAAGTGCATTTGCGATGTTGTAAATGAGATCTTTTTATGTGATGTGTGTAGGAAGAAGGATGGGTGGTATGTAGGGTGTTCAAGAAGAAATTGGCAGCGACGGTGAGGAAAATGGGAGATTACGATTCATCGCCATCGCATTGGTACGATGATCAACTCTCTTTCATGGCCTCCGAGCTTGATTCTAGTTCTCCACGACAGTTTCTTCCAAATCATCATTATAACCGCCACCATCACCATCACCAGCATACATTACCTTGTGGCCTCAATGCGTCTTCAGCTTATGCATTCAACAACAACAACAACCGTAACTTGCAATGCAAGCAAGAGCTCGAGTTACATTACAATCACATGGTACAACATCAGCAACAAAATCACCATCTTCGTGAATCTATATTCCTCCAGCTTCCTCAGCTCGAAAGCCCTACTAGTAATTGCAACTCTAATAACAACAATAACTTGCAGAAATCATCAAATGTCTCTCATGAGGAACAATTACAACAAGGGAATCAAAGTTTCAGCACTCTTTATTACGATCAAGGAGTAGAGCAAATGACTACTGATTGGAGAGTTCTCGATAAATACGTTGCTTCACAGTTTAGCAATGAAGAGGCTGCAGCCGCGGCTTCTGCTTCTACCTCTTCTCATCAAAACAACGTCAAGATTGACACGAGAAACCCCGCTTATCAAGTGATAGATGAGGGAAGAAATTTGCTGGAGAATGATTCTGAAAGGGTTGTTGAAATGAGAGATGAGTATACAAATTCTCATGCTGCTTCTACTTCTTCGAGTTGTCATATTGATCTCTGGAAATAGTTAAAAAAGTGAAGGAGATGAAAGATGAATATATATGAAAATACATGCACACTAGTGCTATGTAGATGATGATGGTCACAGTTTTAATTATACTTATGGAAGGGAAAAACAAGGTGTTATTTCCCTGATTTATGGAGGTTTTGTACATAATAAAAACCTATGTAGGGATGTATGTATATATGTATGAATGTATATGCATCCCTAACTTTATATATGAACCATATGAGTTATGATTTAAATGCGAGACCAATTCTTGTATACGAAGGGACAACTACTTCATAGAAAATTTATACTTGTTATATATATTTTAATTGTTGTATTTGTATACTCACTTAATTTATGTCCCTCATTTTTTTGGTTCTTCCATCATATGATTACTTGTATGTAAATTTTCTTATATCCAAATAATTACATCAGCAAAGTTTGATACTCCTACATATATTAAAAATCCGCTTACTACTTACATTTGTACATAACCTAAATTAAAGAGATACCATTATAATCCGCTTACTACTTTTATATCACCGTATAAGGAAAACAAACAAGAACATAGTAGAACAACAAATGTAATTAACTTATATAACATAAATAGTCAACAAATGAACAATAAATAATTTACCAATTGACTTTAATTTGGATTGACTTACACATTTTGAGTTATCTTGATGAGAACAAGTAACAACTTGAAAGAAGCTTGAAGAGTTAGTAAGTGAAAGTCAGAGAAAGGAGTGTCAATGAGAAGTAAAGATGGCACGGAGACGATTAGTGCATTTGAAGAAACCAAAATTGTTATGACATGCATGTTGGCTCGAGAATATACATATATATATAGAGAGACAAGCCGTGTTAGAAAATGAAGATAACAAAGGCGTGATTTGTCCTTAGGGTATTATTATAAAATTATAATCATAATGTTTGATATCAAGGGTGGCAGAAGAAACAATACTGTACGTTAAAGTTGAAATTATGTTTCCTCGAAGTCATTAGCTCAATCTATTAGAGACAAAATCTTTTAATTATATCGGATCGCCATATGGCTGATTTGCATAGAATTAATAAATTTGTTAGCAGTATTTTATCTCAAAATTTAGATATTTTCGGGTCAGAATAAAAATCTGGTTCCAAAATTAGAAAGATGCATGAATCGATATATTTTTTTTCACTTATAAATGAAAGTATTTGGATCGTCTACTTAACTTATATGAATGAGATGACTAAATAGTAATATCACACATATCAGTATCACTACTTTTTGGATTTTTTTTAACAACTATATTTGTATAATATATTTTCTCCATAATTAACAACTATATACCATTATGTGATGCATAATATTTTAGCTATGAATAACCTCAGTTCATTTAATTTTGTGGAGGAACATCATTATTTGGGCGTGCTCTTTGGGATTGGTTCCGGTCTAAGCGAAAGCCTCGGATAACTTCGACCATTATTAGACATTGATCTCAATAACTTAGGGAACATTATATGAGACAAAACCATGTGACGCTTTATCATTAGTATTTCTCTTTTTAACAAAAAAGACATTAGTGTTTTTCTTAATTAGGGCGTACGTTTACGCCACAAATGACAAATCCCAAGTTCCTACGGTTTTAATCAAATGGCCATATAAAAAAATATATATAATTAAATAAAATCCCACATACTTTTAATACACATAATAAAAGTGTGAAAATTTTATCATTTTCATGTTATGCATTATCCCTAAACAAATATTCTTTGATGGGCCTAAAATTGGTAAACAAATTGGGCTTAGAAAAAGCGTATAAGTAACAATTTGACATAATACATACTCCAGGTCACTTGCCCCGCTTTATCAGAAAGAAACCCTCATCGACTCATATCCGAGGTAAATTGATTCTCTCTACGAATTTTCTCCATTGGTAATGCTTTTTGTTTTCTTCGAATCATAATTTTGTGTTGTATATCTTCGATCTCTCGCTTTTAGCATTTCCGTGTTTCTGAAGTAAATTTCGTTGATTCTTTCTCGCAATATCGTGAGCTTACCCAGAGATCCTTTCTTGATTTTGTGTTGTTGCAATTTTGTTAGGTTTTTTTTTTTTTTTCAAGAAATGGTTTCTGGGTTTTTTGGATTGATGCATTTTATAATGATTTCTTGGATTTTGCTACAATTCACAACCTAGAAATTGTTGAAATTGATTAAAGCGTTTCTAATTTTGTGAAATTGTTGGTGTTTTAAGGTTTTGATTTCGACGAAAAATGCGGTACAAGAGAAGATTTGTGACAGTTTACAGGGATTTTCCAGAAGGTTGTGGTGTTCCTTCAAAACATTTATCCAATGCTGATGAGCTTTTGATGCAATCTAAGTTTAAGGTAAGAAGAAGAGTAAATCAAATTCTATTCTAACCGATTTATATCCGCTGCGAATTTTGTGATATTTTGGATTCTAAGAGCTTAGAATTTGTTTGAAATGTTAAAGGATGGAATTGTCCTGCAGTCTCATGGAGACTTCCTAGACATAACAAAGGAATCATCAAATGATTCGGAGACCGAGACTTCTATAACTGAGGAATCGATTCTTGAATCTAATGGAAGTGTTAAAGATCATCAAGACGAGGAAGGCATAGGAGAAAGCGAAGATAAGCAAAACGAGATGAGCTCGGTGAAGAAGAGATGTTTGAGTTCACATAACTCAACCATTGAAGTTGAGACAGATGTTGTGGATGTCTCAAAGAGAGTCATTGTTTCGGGACTCCCAGCTAAGTCGAAATGCCCTTGGAGACAACCTAAGAACCAAGGTTCAAGACAGGTGAATGATTTGAACCGAGTCAAATTTTTTTCTTCTTCTGGATTTATGTGTTTGGTTCTTGTTTATGTTATTGTTAATGTAGTGAAAACATTTTGAATGCAGGAGAAGAGAAGGTGGTGGTAACTCTGAAATCAAGACTCTTTCTTAGTTAATATAAGACAATAGGTTTAGAAGTAAGTAAATTACTCTTTTGCCTCTTTAGCTTAGAGGTTTCAGATTAGAGGAATCTGAACACAGTTTCTCATAATTTAGCAAAATTGACAAATTATTTTGTCAGAACTTTGATACTTTTTTCATCGTAATTTTTGTCAACAATCACTCAATGAAGGGGTCTTCAATTCAGATAAGAGATAACCAAAACAAACCAACAGATAAGATCAAAAAACCGAATTAGAAACCTTACCAAAAAGAAATTAACCAAAATGTTAAACAAAACCAGTCCCTGTTATATTAGTTTTAGTGTGGTGGTAAATATTTTCCCAGAGTTAAAAAATCTGAAAAATCAAATAACCCCCAATCCAAACCTAGATTTTGAACACCATTGAGGAAAAAAAAAAAAGATTTTGAACACCACTACTTAACCAAAATATGAACCGAATCCTAAACCGAACCGTATGTTAAAACATAAACCAAATTCGTTTAAATAATTGTATGTTAAATAATTGTACTCGATCTTTATCAAATTGGGAAAATAAACTGAAAATTCGAAGCGAAACCTATTCGTTAACCACTTTGATTTGATGCAATTACTGGTGTTTATAACAAAAAGATATTTTAAACCGAACCATAACCGGAACTTAACCGGTTTTCATTCCCATCTCTTCAATAAACACTTGGTTTTAGGATTCTCAATCAGACAGAAATCGAAATGCAGAGATCGATTGCGATGACGGCGAAGAGATTTCTTCATCGCAATCTTCTTGAGAATGGTAAACCTAGAACTGCTTCTTCTCCTTCGTTTAGCCATTGCAGTTCCTGTCGTTGCTCGGCACGAGCTTCTTCTAGCGTCAGTGGTGGTGATTTGCGAGAGAGATTAAGCAAAACTCGGCTTCGTGATATAAAGCTACATGATGCGATTAATCTGTTCAGAGGTATGGTCAAGACTCGTCCCTTCCCTTCCGTTGTTGATTTCAATAGATTGTTGAGTGCCATTGTTAAGATGAAGAAGTATGGTGTTGTTATCTCTCTGGGGAAGAAGATGGAAGTTTTGGGGATTCGAAATGATCTTTATACGTTTAATATTGTGATTAATTGTTTCTGTTGCTGTTTTCAAGTCTCTCTTGCTTTATCTGTTCTTGGCAAGATGTTGAAACTTGGTTATGAGCCAGATAGAGTCACGATTGGATCTCTTGTTAATGGATTTTGTCGTAGGAATAGAGTTTCTGATGCTGTATCTTTGGTTGATAAGATGGTGGAGATTGGATATAGACCGGATATTGTTGCGTACAACGCGATCATTGATAGTCTTTGCAAAACCAGACGTGTGAATGATGCTCTGGATTTTTTCAAGGAAATTGGAAGGAAAGGGATTAGACCGAATGTTGTTACCTACACTGCGCTTGTAAATGGTCTTTGTAATTCTGGTAGATGGAGCGATGCTACTCGGCTTTTGAGAGATATGATCAAGAGGAAAATCACCCCTAATGTTATTACTTATAGCGCATTGCTTGATGCGTTTGTGAAAAACGGAAAGGTTTTGGAGGCTAAAGAGCTTTTCGAGGAGATGGTACGAATGTCTATCGATCCTGATATCGTGACTTACAGTTCGTTGATCAATGGGCTTTGTATGCATGATCGCATAGATGAGGCCAACCAAATGTTTGATTTGATGGTAAGCAAGGGTTGTTTCCCAGATGTAGTGAGTTACAACACTCTTATAAATGGATTTTGTAAGGCGAAGAGAGTAGAGGATGGGATGAAACTGTTTCGTGAGATGTCTCAGAGAGGATTAGTTAGCAATACAGTCACTTACAACACTCTTATCCAAGGTTTTTTTCAAGCAGGCGATGTTGATAAAGCTCAAGAATTTTTTAGTCAGATGGATTCTTTTGGTATCTCTCCTGATATTTGGACCTATAACATTTTGTTAGGTGGTCTTTGTGACAACGGGGAGCTAGAGAAAGCATTGGTGATATTTGAAGATATGCAAAAGAGTGAAATGGATCTTGATATTGTCACATATACTACTGTTATCCGAGGAATGTGCAAGACTGGTAAGGTTGAAGACGCTTGGAGTTTATTTTGTAGCCTCAGCCTTAAAGGATTGAAGCCTGATATTGTAACATACACTACAATGATGTCAGGGTTGTGTACAAAAGGCCTACAACATGAAGTTGAAGCACTGTATACAAAAATGAAACAAGAGGGGCTTATGAAAAATGACAGCATGCTATGCCTTGGAGATGGTGACATAACCATATCAGCTGAACTCATCAAGAAAATGTTGAGCTGTGGCTATGCACCGTCCTTGCTTGGAGACATAAAACCTGGGGGATGCAAAAAAGCGCTGTCTCTCTTGTAATTGTTACTTCGTTTGTGCTTTCCCGCAGTATTGTTATGTAACCTATGTTCAGATTTTCTCTTGCAAATTCATCTGTTTCAGCGGTGATTGAACCACTGGCACTCGGTGTTTCTCTAATTCAAGTAGAGAAATCCTCAATTGCTTTATCCAAGCATTGAGTAATGGTGGTCAGTCAAGTGTTATCGAATAGTGAATGCATCTGGGTTCTTCACTAACCTCGTCATTCCTGGTTGGAGATTCTGGATTTGGGTTGTACATTTCGAAGGGATTCTCTGGGAGGGTTTTTGCTGTCATCACCAGCAGCAGCAGCTCTATCCATGGTGCCGATTAGCATTGCTTCATCTTCTCCTTTTCATCTCGACGCTTAAGGTTAAATTTTTGTCTTTGATAATCAAATCACATTTAATGGTCTGCTCATGCTGGACTAATTGTTCATGGTTTTATTTGTCTTTCGAAATCCTTTGGTTTGAGATCGTTTTTACTACCAGATTGAAGTTGTTCTGGCTGTTCTGTTTTAGCTTTAGAAAGATTATAAATCTCCCAAATTCGATCTCCAAACTTGTCCCTGATTCATGCTTTCTTTGACTCATCTAGCTTATACATCAGCCCAAACTCTTCTGTTTTGAAGATATATGTATCGCTTACCCTTTATCAAAACCAGTTGAAGTGTTACTGTTGATGAACAGAAATACATGAATAATCTTTGCTGTCTCGCGCTTTCTGGGTGCAATTTATATCACAGTTTGAGTACTAAAACCGTGTTGGCTACGTAATGCAGGAAAAAGAGATGAATGTAGGAAAAAGATGTATTTGGCTCGGCTTGAGGAAGAATGAGCATCACTTGGTTTCTCTCAATCTTATCATGATTTCTCTCTTTGTGCATAAACATATATAGGGAAAATGCTCTGCCAGAGGTTAAAAAAGCCAAGATGTTGTAAATAAAGGCAAAGCTTCTCGTACTTGTAAGAGAAATCTATTTCCCTTGTCCATCTTGTCTTTTGTTCTTCCAAATAATTGACAACTCACTTGTAAGCAATGAAGTTGTAAAATTTTCGTAGGAAAAAACTTGGACATCTCAGTTCTTGTCGTAAAGTAGCTATTAAAACTGTTGTCTAAGTTTTAATTAGACAGGATTATTCTAATTGTGGAAACAAAGCAATCATTGAAAAGGGTAAAGGTATTCTTTATTATTTGGCTGGACCTATCAATAAAGCAAAACTTACTTTTCTTTGTTCCTTTGAAAATCTCTCTGTGTTTCTGAAGCGATTGGTGGTTGCTTCTCTGTCTCGTTGTCTTGTGATCAAAGGTAGTATCAAAGGCAAGGCGAAATGATTTATTAAGAAGGGTGGAGAGAGAGAGAGAGATTAAAGGTCTACGAAGGCTTGACCAAATTCAGGTATGGGTTACTATTACTAGAAAGGCCTATTCAACTGAGAATCGTCGGTCAGGACTCAGGAAAGAGTGCTTAAAACAGCATGGAACCGATTTTGTTGGAAAATGGATGTCTTAGCATCTCTGTCTCTGATTTTGTCGTTGTTAATAGCCCAGAAATGTTGTTGTGGATCTTCCCCAACAAAATCACAAAATGTACTACTACCATCTTTTTTGTTCTGATTCTTGATTCGGTTTAAAAACGCAAACCGATAATCCCCAAATAACATAATTACTAAACCGGTCTCAGCATTCTTCACTCTCTCTCTCACAGTCTCAGTGGTTCGTTTAGGGTTTTGTTGAATTTTACGGAGCGATTAGATTCCGAATCAGAGAGATTGAGAAGAAACCAAATCGAGAAGATGATGAGATCGTTTGCGATTGCATCTACAGGGAAGAGATTTGTTCACCGGAATCTTCTGATGAGAGGTAATGCTGCAACTGTTTCTCCTTCCTTTTCCATTTGCCGGAGACGAGCTTTCTCTGGCAAGACTCATGATTACAGAGAGGTATTAAGATATGGGCTGAGTGATATAAAGCTAGATGATGCTATTGTTTTGTTCAGTGAGATGGTCAAGTCTCGTCCCTTTCCTTCAATCATTGAGTTCAGTAAATTGTTGAGTTCCATTGCTAAGATGAAGAAGTTTGATGTTGTCATCTCTCTCGGCGAGCAAATGCAAATGTTAGGAATTTCACATAATCTCTATACTTACAGTATTTTGATTAACTGTTTTTGCCGCAGCTCTCAAATCTCTCTTGCTTTAGCTCTTCTTGGCAAGATGATGAAACTCGGCTATGAGCCCAATATTGTCACGCTTTCTTCGCTGCTCAATGGCTACTGTCACGGTAAGAGGATATCCGAGGCTGTAGCTTTGGTTGATCAAATGGTTGAAATGGGATATCAACCTAATACAGTTACATTTACAACTCTAATCCATGGACTTTTTCTTCACAACAAAGCTTCAGAAGCTGTGGCTTTAGTTGATCAAATGGTTCAAAGAGGCTGTCAACCGAGTCTGGTTACTTATGGTGTGGTAGTAAATGGGTTATGTCAGCGAGGTGATACTGATTTGGCTTTAAATCTGCTTAAGAAGATGGAACAAGGGAAAATAGAGGCTAATGTTGTGATCTACAGCACAATCATTGATGGTCTTTGCAAATACAGACAAGTGGATGATGCACTCAACCTATTCAACCAAATGGAAACCAAAGGCATTA